TTTTGTATGGGAAACATTTTTAATGTATTTTTATGCTTTGGAGTACATGTTTGCACAACAATTTGTCTTCTTGTGACTGGAGATCACAGCCTGTTTCTGAAACAGAATTAAAATGTACTACTGAGTCCTTGGTGTGCTTTATCTTTTTTGGAGTCTAGTTCATAAACTAACTCTGTTCAGACTGTAAATTTAATGTGGCAAGATTTGAGAATTATTCTGATATTATCCAATCAGCATTTGGGGGCAAAATTTTCAGTTCCCGGATGTGCGAAGATCGGTTCTGATGCTGTGAATGATATTCACAGCAACTGAAGCTCTCGAAGTTCCTGGTGACTTGATCCGAATCCAACCTCACTAGCAGCAAAACGCTCGACTGCAAACTGCTTCTGATGCAAAATAATGACAATGGTCAGAACATACTTTAAGACACTTGGTATTATAGAACAAAAAGTGGTTTTAAAAAGTATTAAATCGAGGGCTGATAACGTATTCTCCACTTCACTGCTGTCATAAATGCACAAACCAATTATATTGAGGCATTGCTGGCACCTTCTTGGGCTCTAAAGCCTTTTTGATGAACGTTTTCTAGCAGCTAACAAATGATAAAATATTGAAATCAATGCCAATTTGCTCTTCTGAGTTATATTGGAATGACTGTTTTGTGCACACCAACAAAATTCACTGAAATGATCCTACAAGGTCTTTTGTTTTTGTTGCTTAAACATTGCACATGAGGTTTTATGTTAAAATGATTTTTGCTTTAATTTGAACCACAATAATTTCTGCTGGTGTAAAGACAATGTTGATCATTACAGTCATAATAATGCAATAAGATAGATTATGTTAATACTTGACTGAAAGTGTGGAATAAACACCTGCTAAATTTAACAGGCATTTTTCAAATGTTTCTTGAATTAAATATATTTTTTATCCAGGGTCAGCCTGAGGCAAAGCAGACCAAGCAGCCACTTAGGGCCCCACTAAGGGGCCTCCTCAGTGGAGCTGATTTTTAATTTATCATTTAAATGTCATTATAATATCAAAAACACACAATTTCACTATGAACTTATTTGTTTTTACAATAATATATATATATTTGATAACGTATGTAGAAATCATTATTTTATGGATGAAAAAAAAATCTGCTCTTGGAGGGCCCCTGGTGGCCTCAGCTGGTACCGCACGCTTCGCAGGTACCATGATCTGTCGTGGGACCAACTTAGATTCAAAAATGAAAAATATCTGTGACAGTTGTTTTGTCGGTCATGTATATGACCTCAGAAGATGGCGCTCATATCCCTGAGTCTAGAGGAGTGACGTCACGTTCCGAAGAACCCCCCTTCCCAATAAAAATGATAGAAAACATACTAAGAAAATGCCTCAGACCTGCAGCCTACAGGCGGTTCTAGACACAGACAAACAGAAGTGGCTCTTACCTCCGTGAAGCTGACACCTCGGCTCAAATGATGCCTGAATGTGTATGACCTTTGTTCACCTTTGAAGAGCCCGACAGCATAATTCTTATTCTGATTCCGTTTCTGGATTGTATAATATTGAGCTACATAGTGCGTACTCTACAATTTCTAATATCACTAATCAACCAAAATAATCCTTTTCTGGGTTAAACAGGGAGTACGCCATAGTTTCTAACAAAGTAAAATAAAAAAGAGGAAAGGACACATTAGGGCAGATGGCAACATTCAGACAAAACAAAGGGTGCAGGCGGTGACATCACAGGGCCATGAAACCATGTTACTCAGCCTCCCGGCAGAAGTCTGATAAGATGTTGTTATCAAGGAATATCCTTGGGAGCGCTCAGCTCCACAAATGCATGGATAACAGGAGGGGGTGAAGCGGGAAGGAGCGTTATGTTTACACATCTTCAAGGAGATTGGAAATATGCAACCCTTCCAAGGCAACACGGGGAAAGCCAATTCAGAGACAGAATGTCTTAAGTTGGGTAGATTATAAATTTCAATCTTCCCTGAAGTCTCTCCATGTTGCTAGCCGAAACTAGCAACTTCTCCAAGTTCAATTTCATCTCATTAGTGAGCTTTGAGTCCTCAGCAGGGCAGTAAGACTCACATCCAACTTGCATCTCTGTTCACACCAACAGTATGAGTGTTTGCTAGTTCGACCAAGTCCGTCACAAATTTGTCGATAAGCAAATTGCTGTTTGCCAGCTCCAAACAGCAGAAATCCAATTATCACAAATAAATCCAGGATAAATCCAGGTAGGTGTGTCCCTAGTGGACAAGAGGACTCTCCTGTGTCCAGTCTTCTGGTCGAGAAAATTTCATCAATTGCATTGAGAGACCAGTTGACCAGATCTATAATTTGTAGATTCGGAGGATGTGCAAAGAAAGGCTCCAAAAATATAGAAAAAGACAGAAAAAAACCTCCGCCTTCACCGAGAGCAAAGTAGAAAAATCTCCAGATGGAGACTCAACAGTTGAACTCAACAGCTGGAGACTCAACAGTTGAAGACTCAACAGTTGAAGGCTCAACAGCTGGAGACTCAACAGCTGGAGACTCAACAGTTGAAGGCTCAACAGCTGGAGACTCAACAGTTGAAGGCTCAACAGCTGGAGACTCAACAGCTGGAGACTCAACAGCTCGAGAGTCATCAGTTGGAGACACAGCTGGAGACTCAACAGCTGGAGACTCAACAGTTGAAGGCTCAACAGCTGGAGACTCAACAGTTGAAGGCTCAACAGCTGGAGACTCAACAGCTGGAGACTCAACAGTTGAAGGCTCAACAGCTGGAGACTCAACAGTTGAAGGCTCAACAGCTGGAGACTCAACAGCTGAAGACTCAACAGCTGGAGACTCAACAGTTGAAGACTCAACAGCTGGAGACTCAACAGTTGAAGACTCAACAGCTGGAGACTCAACAGCTGAAGACTCAACAGCTAGAGACTGAACAGTTGAAGGCTCAACAGCTGGAGACTCAACAGCTGAAGACTCAACAGCTAGAGACTCAACAGCTCGAGAGTCATCAGTTGGAGACTCAACAGCTGGAGACTCAACAGTTGAAGACTCAACAGCTAGAGACTCAACAGCTCGAGAGTCATCAGTTGGAGACTCAACAGCTGGAGACTCAACAGCTGGAGACTCAACAGTTGAAGGCTCAACAGCTGGAGACTCAACAGCTGAAGACTCAACAGCTAGAGACTCAACAGCTCGAGAGTCATCAGTTGGAGACTCAACAGCTGGAGACTCAACAGCTGAAGACTCAACAGCTGGAGACTCAACAGCTGAAGACTCAACAGCTGGAGACTCAACAGTTGAAGGCTCAACAGCTGGAGACTCAACAGCTGAAGACTCAAAAGCTAGAGACTCAACAGTTGAAGGCTCAACAGCTGAAGACTCAAAAGCTAGAGACTCAACAGCTGAAGACTCAACAGCTGAAGACTCAACAGCTAGAGACTCAACAGCTAGAGACTCAACAGCTGAAGACTCAACAGCTGAAGACTCAACAGCTGAAGACTCAACAGCTAGAGACTCAACAGCTCGAGAGTCATCAGTTGGAGACTCAACAGCTGGAGACTCAACAGCTGAAGACTCAACAGCTAGAGACTCAACAGCTGAAGACTCAACAGCTGAAGACTCAACAGCTGAAGACTCAACAGCTAGAGACTCAACAGCTCGAGAGTCATCAGTTGGAGACTCAACAGCTGGAGACTCAACAGCTGAAGACTCAACAGCTAGAGACTCAACAGCTCGAGAGTCATCAGTTGGAGACTCAACAGCTGGAGACTCAACAGCTGAAGACTCAACAGCTGGAGACTCAACAGCTGAAGACTCAACAGCTGGAGACTCAACAGTTGAAGGCTCGACAGCTAGAGACTCAACAGTTGAAGACTCAACACCTAGAGACTCAACAGCTGAAGACTCAACAGTTGAAGGCTCGACAACTAGAGACTCAGCAGTTGAAGACTCAACACCTAGAGACTCAACAGTTGAAGACTCAACAGCTGGAGACTCAACAGTTGAAGACTCAACAGCTGGAGACTCAACAGTTGAAGACTCAACAGCTGGAGACTTTTTTAATACCTCTGTGCACTTCTCTTCTATAGTCTAGCAATGTCTATAGCCCGGACGAAGGCCTGTGAAACAATATTCTGAAATGTGGCTTTCAAGTCACTGTACGTGAACTTCTGGTTCTCTAGCAAGTCCGAAACCACATCTGAGAAAATATTTGTAAAACATTTCAAGAGATATTTGGTCTTCTCATAGTCCACTGTCAAATCGTCTCAGTCATCATCCTGGATTTGATGGTAATATTCCTCAATCGCAGTAAGATTGAGGAATCTTACTGCGCTAAGCCTTGGAGATTTCCTCTTGTTGAATCGATTGGAGTCATTGTGCTGAACGCAGATCCTCTTCTCGAACTGACTTGGAATGAATTTTACCAACAGAAGTTATATAGTGTTACACAACAAAGCGCTGGGGACATCACAAACTATGACGCATCAGCACAAGAATTCGTGCAGAGCTATGATGTCATCGACCTGCAGTGTCCTGGGGATCTGTGCTACTTCGTCACTTTCTAATGTCACCACTTCTTTTTCAGTAACGAGTAATCTAACGCCTTACTATTCCAAATCCTGGATACGATGGGCTTCACATTAAGTATCCGCCAATCACGATCCCCCAAGATACTCACATGTTGTTAAATGTAGCTTTTGAAACAACATTCATTGGGTAAAAGTGAGCGCCTGAGCGGTCAGAAATATTTCCAGATATTTGTGTTTTCCTCCAAGTGGAAGTTTAGCAGTCATCTCCCAAAGGGCAATTTGCTTTGCAGACAGCAAGAATAAATGTGTACTACATAAATGAAAATAAATTACAATGTTAGCACACACCAACACACATGCAACACACAGTACAATAGGGATGTTGTGGTGTACTATTGCTGTTACTCATTAAATGTGTCTGAAGTGTGAGAACGCTGTGACCTCAGTACAACAGAAGGAGGAGCAGAGTCAGAACTGCTGTGAGTTTAAATATTAATTTATTAACATTTTTGGCATTATTGCTTTAAACATAAAAAATAGAGGTGAAAGGAGAAAAAAAAGTACAAGTGTTTGAACTGAAGATAGAAATGCTGCAGATATTTCACTGGAGACCGTAAACAATAAAAACAAACTGAAAAACACCCTCTACAGTACAGAATGACGTGATTTTTGCACCAAGCATTTTCAGCACATAAATAGCAGCAACTCAGCGTTAAAACGAAAAGAACAACCTAGATCTAATATTCCAGCAAAGGTTGAAATCCAGCCTGGACTCGGCTGCATCTTTCATTCTGACCTTTCACTGTCCGCATCGACCAAGTTTGAACAAATCCTCTTTCTGTGCAAGATTATTTCATAAAGGTTCAACATTTCATGCAGGACAATCTGCTCATTGGGCCTCATGTTAAGACATACGTAAAGGTTTTTCTTTTAAAGGTACAGCTTAACAGGGACTGCCTCTGACAGGACAGGACTGGTGATAGAAAATAGACAGACGAGCCCTTTAAAAATGTAGTCGTTGCTGACTAAAAGTCACTTGAAGAACATATTCCTTCAAAAATCTGATTTCTCAACAGATCTTTAACTTTCTGCAGGCATATAGAAGGATGAATCTTTGTCTTTGCTAAAAATAATATATATTAAAAAAAGGTGACAAGAAAATGTAGAACAATTTTGGCAAAAAACTAAAACAAGCAAATATGACACAGAGCAAGAGATAAAAATCACAAAAAAAGGAGAATAAAAAAATCAGAAGAAACTTAAAAACACATTTTTGATTATCAAATATACCTGAGAACAAGTATGGCTTCAATTTCAAAATACAAATTAAAAATTTACATCAACATTTTGATTGAAGTGGTAGGGAGAAAAAGACACAAATCTCCACATGGAAAAGTTAAATAATCAAATTTCTCGTAGTTTTCCACATGAAATTAAATATCAACATACAAAGTAATTTTTTTTTGTGTGTTTTCAATCTTATAATTATCTGAATCAGTTTAGTATTTTTCCTTAGTTTACAGTCATGGAACAGATTGTTTATCCAGCATATAGAAAAAAAGATGACAATTTGAAACTCTGTTAAAAAGTAATTTCAAAGAAAAATCTGGGAATTAGGACAACTCCACATCCATCCTCACTTGAAATGGCTAAAGATCACACATGCTTATGATATCGGCCATGTATGATTAGAACAATGTTACTGCACGTAGGTCTGTCCTGTTCAGACCTCGGTGTGTTTAAAGTGCTCCTAGCTGCTGAAGTGAGAGTGAAGGCCATTCAGAAAGAAGACAGTAGCAGCTTATGAGTCTGTGAGGGATTAAAGCAGATTAATATCAGCCGTTCCAATGAATGAAAAAATCATCTACAAGCGGAGGACATTCAAAACAGTCAAAGCTCTCAGGCCTGGATGTCTGACACAGTTCACCCTGAAAGCTGACAGCAAGATGCTGAACGAAGTCCCCCAAAAATCCACCAGGGGCCCTGCAGGGCGGCTCTCGCTCCCGTTAGCTTCCAAGAAAAGCATAAGAGGTTTTACTGGAACAGGCTGGAGAGAATAATGATCTTTAGACAGGTGGGGGATATTTGCTTTAAATCAAATGACCATCAAATATCTCACATCCCAAAGTGAAGACAGGGGCAAACGTTCCTCAGATTGTCAGCAACAAGAAACGGCTCGCCAAATCTCGACCTAAGTTGGTCAAACTGGGTGTGAGGTTTTTTTTTTTTTCAGTTAAAAATTACATTGCTGAATGAGTAAAACAAACTTAATGTGTGTACATATAAATTAATTTCACAAAAACAAAAAAGTATATTTGAATTTGATATTTTCCTCCTCAACTTTATAAAAAAAAAATAAAAAATCACTTTTTAGCTGCGAGAGTAAAGGGTAGAATATGAAACGTGGTGAATCACAAATGTTTCTAGACAGAAAAAAAAACACACATTTGAAGTAAAACCAAAGAACAGAAAGTAAACAGCTTTTTGTGATGACTGTCCACAGAGAGAACCCCTCAAAAACACATTTCAAAATAAATTTCCAACAGGTCAAAACTGAAGAAATACAAAAACTTTAAATGGGTCCTAGTTCCACTGGCAGATCATTTCACTTATAACAACACATTGATCCCCTGTTGTAAGTGAAATAATCTGCAAGCGGAACCAGAACTTTCTGATCAACATTGCAGAATTACTGACGTAAAACAAGCTGCTTTAGCGTTCTGAAACGCTACTTTAAAGTTATTTTTGTCATATTTCAGGCTTAATTAGATATGTGCACGAGAAACAAGACCAAAAATTCTCGGTAAGAATTTGTGTTTTTGCAGTGATAGAAAGAAAACACCAATCAGCCATAAGATCCAACACTGTAAAAGCTTTTTTGTTTTGTTTACTGATTGTTTTCAATTTCAGTATATTCTGAAAAAAAAAGAAAGAAAAAGATCACACACATGATATTGTTTAACTTCGGTCTAGTTTAGAAGCATAAAATGTTTCCATCATCTGGTCAGTGAGGAAACCAAAATCTGATTTCCTCAAATAAATAGTCGAATTTTTTTTTTTTAAGATTCATCCAATAAACGTCGTTTAGTTGAAGCTGGGATCAGATTAATTAAGGACTCTCTTTAAAGCTTTAAGATCCACTTTCTCTTATTGCAAGATAACAAACAAGAAGCATAAAAATAGCTTTGATTTCAACACAATTATTATTGCACTTTTATTTCCTCATAGTTACCTGAAACAGCTTCCTCCAGACGTGCCGCGTGAAGCAGCTGGTTCTACCGAGTCACAGGACGGTGATCCGTCTCACCACTGAGTGTCAGTAATGAACCGTCGACAGGAGGAGCAAAACGCAGTTATGGTAAAATGATGCTACACCTCCTTTAAAGTCAGGGGCTTTTCCATCTCTGCCTCATCGTTGTAGAATAAATAAATCACATTTGCAGTTTTGAAATAATTTCATAACTCATTTTAACCAGAACTGCCTTTGCTGATCTGTTGGGTAACTGAGGTTTCTTTTACTTAGACTTTTACATTCATCATTCAAGACCTTTGTTTTGGCATTTCATTGAGCCTCGTGTGTCAAAATGAATAACTTTTCCCTCCAAACTCAGCCTATTTCAACAGTTTCTTACAGTACAAAGATTATTTCACAATAAAGCCGTTTCTTTGAGGCACAGATGTCTGAAGGACTTTACTTTCGTGAACCTTTAAGACGCGTTTTGTCAGTACGTGAAGCGATGTTTACGCCACAAAGGTGCAGTGAAGATTTGGAGGAATCATCCCAAAGGTTTCTAGTTGTCCTGGTTTCTGTCACCCACTGAGGGGGTGGAGTTCAACTCTCACCTTCTCCCCAGTGCTCATCATGCCAATGGTGGGATAGAAACCGTTTGGCGGCAAGGCCACTTCCCTTTTCCCCACCACTTTCCCGTTCCGCGTGAAAAACACCTGTTCCAACACACAAGCAGGAAAACAAGCGGTGAATGTCGACCAGCTGCATCCGAGTCACGAGCTTTCACACTCCTGCCTTCAGACAGAACCTCACCATGACCTTCCTCCCCTCCGAATCGTCCCCCTCGTCCTCCTCTTCGTCGTCGTTGTTTGCGTACAGGTTGTTCTGCACCTCGCTGGAAGCCACGTCCAGGTCAAAGTCGTCGGCGTCATCTGAAAGAGCGGCGCCAGCGTTAGGGAGCCGATCAAAGAGTCGGAAAAGAGAGACGACGTGAGGACGTTCACCTCCTCGGTCCGCGCTGAAGTCTCGTGGGAACATGATCCCGCAGCCCATGATGTCGCCTTCGAAGCAGCGTGGCCCGAACGGGTCCCCCACCCCGCTGCCGTGGAACAGCTTCCCGTCGTCTGCGACCAACGAGGAAGACGTTAAAACCCAAAACCCAGCTTTGTATGACATGTTAACGTTAGAGGAGATGATTATTTTTGATACAAAAAGTCTTACGGTCTTGTAATTTCCTACAGACGGCTGACTGGACCCTTTCCTGATCTTTCATTGATTGCCAAGCCTGTTGCAATAAGCAATTAATTGCAGGACTAATTAAAAGAAGTTTGATCATTTCCATTCTGATGATCAATATTTTTTGAAGAGCAATGTTGTTTACAGAGACTTCCTAATCCGTTTCATTTATTGTTCTTGGTTGTCATTTTATTTCGGACATTTAAAATATCTTCCAGCTCCGGTGTTCAGTATTCTTTACAACATCTAAGTTTCTTTTGTTTTAAGAGGGTGAGCTTCATTATTATGCTGTTAACAATATGTTATTTGAAAACCATCTCAAAACAACATTATTGTTTATTGAAATAATTACCACAGGTTGATCACCTTGTCTTACATCCTCAAGGCCGTCTAGGGGTATTGACTGCCTTGACTAACAATTTATCGTTATTTATTTAACAAATAAACAAGAAAAAATGAGGAGACAAAACTTTAAAGTTAAAGTTTTCTTTAAAAAAAATAATCTAAATAAATCTTAAAGGTGAAGATGATAACCTAAAGTGAAAGAAAGGAGAGAGTAACAACAAAAGCCAGAGTTTCTAGCAGACAACAAATTCTCTATCCCAGCACCACAAAGCTGCAGCACACATGCTGCCCAATGGGCCAAGAGGCCCTGAAAGTCTTCTTCTTTTCTATTATGGCGGATCGCAAGCAACTTTAAGGTGCATACCACCACCTACTGTATACGGGTGTGTAGCAACACAGCCCTGAAAGTCAGTTTCCCAGCTCGCCTTAGACTCTGCTAATCAAGAGGCAGAGAGAAACCAGCTGGACCTGCTTAACCTGCTGGAGATCAGCAGCAACCTGAAATGGAGGGGAAATCCTACATGCAGCCACCACTGCATGCAATGCCTAGCATTGATGCAGAAACTCAAGCTGAAGGATCCACACTGTGATGGAGAGACTTTTCAGCAGATCCACATCATCCTGTTTAATTGATCTTATCTAGATTCAGAGAAACTGGGTTTAGTGATAACTACAAAGTATCAACTGGAGGTTCTTCCTGGCATTTTCTCAGCCTGCAACACAATTAGTTGAAATGAAAGGATACAATCTGCCACACAACATAATCCCAGAGCAACGTTCGTCTTCATGCTGCCTTCAAAGATCCAACTCTGATCTGCAATGTTGTCCATTTTCTTTTGACTGTTTTCTTCAAAAGATTTTTTTTTTTGGGCGGGGGCGTTAGATTTCTGCGTAATGTCAGCATTGAACATGCCATTTGCTGGATTTCTGTTCCACTTTTTCAAATATCATTTCATTATGATGTTCACACAACTGAATGCAGAAGAAACAAAAAAGCTAAAATGTATTTTAATAAGTGAATCTTATTCCATACTATAATCATGAATATTACGATGACCTAAAACACACAAAGCTTTGCTGCGATGTTAATTCCCCCCTGACTTTTCCACGTTGTTACATTAAAACAACAAACAGCGCCTCACTGGGTTTCATGTGAAATGCAGAGCATAAAAAAATGGAAGAAAATTACAGCTTTCAAAATCTGATCAAAATCCAAATTAAAATCTAAGCTGTGTGGTGTTTTCATCCTCAACCCTCAGATGTTAACTGCAGTCGTTAGAAAACCAGCCTTGTTTATATAAAGCGGGAGGGGAACATCCACGCTCTCCATCAGAGCAGAGAAATTTCTTCCACATGTTTGCTGTGACGCCTTTCAGCTTCCTTCAAACAATGGATTTCTTCCTGCCACTCCTCCAGTCAGCACATTAAGGATCGGTGACTAATGCTGCGTTCCAGTTGCAGATGAAGTGGGAATTCTGAGCTGGGTTTGACGCAAGACCCGCGTTGACGGCAATCTATTCAGGAAGATGACATTTCAACATGGCAACGCCCATAAACATTGTTTCCAGTAGCATAAAGGTGATTTGAAGCTTTACTTTTCACCACTTTTAGTTTGTTCAGTTTAGAGTTGCAGGCGCTAAAGGTCACACCGATTTTAGACGCTTTTCCATCGCGTCTTCCTGCTGCTGATGTGAGGAGCAGCCGTACTGAAACGTCATAAGCTGGGCAGTCGGAGTCACTCCGAGTTTCCCGGTTGGAAATCCAACTGCAGAGGACTTTCCAGTTGATTTTTTGGACTGGAATGTCAGAATTTCCCAGTTCAGAGAGCAACTGGAACGCAGCATCATTGTGCTGTCAACAGCTTGAGCTGCAGATCTGTCTCCGCCCCGTCCGCTGTTGCCGTTTGCTCTTCAGTGTTCCCTTCAGGAACAGCTGGGTTTATCCTCAGATTAAATTACACCCAGCTGGACTAATGCAAATATGCACAGTGTCTACCACATAAAATCCTATTGAAATACGTCACAGTTTTTGGTCGTAATGCGACAAAATGTGAAAAAGGTAATAGTTATTAGGAATCCAAGCCAACTTCCACGTTTTATTTCACACGCTCACCAGCATGAATAACAGTCTGGAAAAACAGAAATCAATCAGAGGCTTGGAAAAGAGATGATTGACCTGCTGCCCCCGCCCTGGTCATAATGAACCTGCTGAGCTAGTGTTCACATGTCCTCTTGGTTATGTTTACATCCATCCCGCCGCTATCCAGGCAACGGTCTGTGCTGTCATCCAGCCGGTCACCAAAACACACCCAACGCTGCATCCAAGAACTTTTTGTTCTCCTCTTGTGTAAGAGTATTTTTGTGTGATTTCATACCTTTCAGGAAGTGAGAAGTGTCAAGTATTGAGTTTCTTTCCAAGTGCTATTGAAACTGCTCTTAAGTCTTGAATCTATAGAACATGAACAGACAGATCAGAGATGATTCACCTGCATGGTAAGCGATGGAGCCTTTGTTCCAACCTGGATGTTTGTCCTTTGGATAGTCCTGCAAAACAAAAGACAAATTACCTAATTAGAAATAAATCTATAGAAAACACTAAAAGTTTTCTCAAAGAACCAAGTTAAGCTCTTAAACCATTGAATCTTGAGGATGGCTTAGTGCTCAATTAGAAGAACTGTATCATCTTCCATCAGATGTAGCCTCTAAGCTGAGAAGGATTTTTCAGGTTGAACTAGGCATCCGACACGTGTTTTACTGGTCTTACCATTATTAGAATTTTTATTGGTTAAATCTGGAAAAGGGACGATAAAAGACAGAACGAGAAAGGATAATCCAGTTGGTTTGATCAGCGATCCTAAACCAGTTCAAATTGTGAAACAGAACCAAAATCAATGGAGGTCGAGGCAATATGAAATCCTCAGAAAGAAAAAGGAGTTCTTTGTGCAGGAACTCCAAAATAGACGTTAAGTGAAGTTGGCGTAGCATACGATGCAAAGAACAAACAGAGTCTGGTCAGGTGCAGGCGACTCAGCTGGGTCCGGTTTCTTGAACAGTTCTTGAAGTTGAGGTTCATACTCAGAAACAAACTTCTTCATTTCAAATGGAGGAAAGGGGGGGACAATTAGCAGATATTGCGACCGCAAAAACAGACATCTTTGTGAACAGTTTACAACGTTAAAGCAATCCACGTGTGCAGACGAAGAACACTGAAGATGGAAGTAATATTTGATAGAGGCGTTTTAAAGTTATTCAGCAACAGGAGCTGACAGCATGTGTCACTGCTTCTGGCTTTTGCTGGTGCAGAATTAAGATGCATGTCACACGTCAGTGTCATACAAGTAGGATAAAGTGTGACATGACTGTTCTGACTGAAGACGCTTTGAAAACAATCAGATATGTATATAATTTAACACCACAGATTGGATTTTTTTTTTGAGGGGTAAAATGATCAGAACCAGGTTGTTCAGACTGCGATGAAAAAGTCAGGCACTGATAGACTTTGACTGCTGTGAGAACCTTGCCTCAGTTGGCCAAATATCAAAACCTTTTCTCTGTCACCACAAAGCTTCCCAGAAGAGACGCTCTTCTGCTCCACCCCCAATATCTGATAAATTAATATATTGTATTTTTGATGAGCCGAAAACATTTATTTAAACCAAAGGAATCTGTAATGTTTTCCCTTCCATGAATATGTACAAGAAATAGTTTGCTTACAGGCAGAAGCTAAACAAATGTGACAACAGAGGCGGTCATAATGGCTTGGTGAAGAAAATGGAGGGCATGAATTGGGAACAGAGCAAATTGAGAGTAAACCAACACAAACACAACAGACCCATTGACACTTTCCCCTTTTGGAAGGAAACAGAAAAGGAATCCACAATAAACAATTGCTCATTTATCCAGAGTACTTAACCTCTGAGCGACTGATAAGCGCCGAGCTCGGGTTACGATGATAGTGAAGAAGATGTTTTGATTTTTGCAGCAGGAGGTAATGCTTCCCATCAGCAGCCTGATGCCCTTACAGGAGAAGATGTGAGGAATGACCCTCTGATGGATTTATAATTCCTCAACTAACCACAGACATGGCAAGAAAAACAATTCCAGGAAAATAATCAACCAAATGACAGAGCGCTATTCTCTACCCTGTCTGACTTGAGGGTATAACAAGCCCACACAGAGTAAGTCAGAGCAGCGCAGACGGGGCAATCTTAGCGTCGGCAGCAATAATTCATCATCTCCTGGGCTGTGGGTGCTATCGCAGCTGGCAAAGCAGTGCTGCGACTCTGATGACTGATGCTCAATCAACAACAGGCAAACAGTTGAGAGCAGCAAGCGAAAGCATGCAACGACATCGCATTCCATATCCTTCATACACAAACGCGCGCACGCGCTCCAACGGCATGATAAGTGCCCCCTCAGCAATTACTGCAGCGTTTTATTTATATTAAAACAGGATGTGCTCAACGTTCGCCATGATTTCATTTGAGGCGAATGATGGCAAACATTCAACGAGGCTTATTTCCAAAATATATATCACTTATTACCTTTTTATGAGGGGAAGAATTAAGTAAGACTTTATGTGCCAAAATTCATTCCTATGTCCAAATGGAAGAAATATTTATATATATATATATATATATATATAAAAAAATCTGATCTTATCTCTTTGCCATTTTGAACTGTGATCCCTCCATAGTGGATCAGCGTGTAAATGGAAGAAACAACTTATAATGGAAAACCGGACATGGAGGCGAAATGAGACAATATTTATTCAGTTGTTGGCTTTTCCTCTAACAGTCATCCATCACTTGCACTGGAAACACTGAGCGCAAAAGTACATGCAAGGGAGACGGAGGAGGAAAGAGGAGCATTTAATAAAACAGAGAGCGTGTGCGGTGAATTAATCTCTGGATTGATGTAAGGCAGCGGCTCTCACCCTGCGTGCCAGACCCAGGGCGATGTAACACTTCTCTCCAGCGTCTGTGATCTCCAGCTCGTAGTAGTGGAAGCGAGGGTTGAGAGGTCGCCGAGCCTGAGCCAGGCCCACGTCCATGATCCCCTTCCCTTTCCCCATGTACTCCAGCAGCTGTGGGTACGAGAAGAAAAATGGCTCCAACATCACTGGTTGACATCAAATTAATGATTTTATAACGTTGCACAGAAGTTAATGTGACTTTTATTTACATTTTGAGAGAGAAACTAAGTCTTTTAAAAGGCAGTATTAGGTATTCTCCAGGGACACAGGAACAGTGTCATTTTATAGCACAATCAAGTGTTACCTTCAGTTGTTATTAAAATGCTTTATATATCAATTTGACTTTGTAATTTTAATCCTAGAAATTAAGTCTGTCACTTTAAAACTCCTGTTCTTTCTGAAACACCTTCAGAAAGTCATCACAACATCTATTAACCTTTTAACAACATTTTTACCAGCATTACACTGAGAAGGAGCTCATATAATGAACTCAACAGATGCTCAGTTCCACCAGGTGTTTGCTAATTTCTGCAGGCTAGTCTGAAGGAGCTGAGTGGGGGAGTCAGAGGAAGCTTTTCTCAAACATGCATGAAAGACTCAAGACAACACTCCAGCTATATTTTTGATGAGAATAAAACATCATGTAAAGCAGAAAAAAAGTTAATTTTAAATAACACTGCCCCTTTAAGTAATTTTAGAGAGATAACTTATATCGTTTCAGTCTTCTGTCCAAAGCAACTGACTTTACTGTTAGAAATAGATGCTCTGCTTCCTTTTTCTCTGAATTTCAGCTCCCCTTATATGCGGTAGAAAGATGTCTTCTTCTCCTTAACTTGTTGGAAATTAAATAAACTCTCAAGGGAAGTGAAAGCTAGCAGCTAGTCAGACATGCATTTCCTGCATTAGCTGACCTTAGCAATCAGAATGAAACAAAAACATTTTTATCAGCTGGATAAAGCTCTGTTTTATTCAAATGTAAACATTTAGGCACATCTGGAGCTAGCCATAACTACCTCCGTGTTTCTAAGCGTCATGTCGTCCGGCTGCATCAACCTGTCAGATCGATTGGCTTTCTACCTCAGTTGTGCAGCAGCAGCAAATGGATTTTATAGCTGTTTGGTAATTATTCAGGCGGATTTATCAATGAGCCAGATTGATACAGCGAACATAAGTCCAGCTAGTTAGCTTCCAGCAGCTAATGAGAATGAACTCAAATCTCCAGATAGGAAAGCTATTATAGACCATAATGTCACAGCAAGTCCAAACCAACCCTTTAGTGTTAAACTTCTTATCTTTATGGAAACCAGTTTTGATTGGTTTGAAATCCCCACCTGGTGTGATGGTTTTGAAAGCAGCAAACCGGACACACAGCATGATGCTACCACCACCGTACAGCGCAGTCGTTTTTTTTAAGCTTTTAAAATTTAAACATTTTAAAATCTAAATATGTGATTGGCCACTTTGATGTTGGGGATTTGTTGAAGCCGTCCCAGAAGTTTGTGTTTAGGATCATTGTGCTGTTGGAACACCTAGTTTAGCCAAAGTATCAATCATTTGTCCTAAACTGTGAAATTAGAATTTGGTTAGTTAAATTCAAAGTGCTGTGCTGCAACCAGTGACTGTGCCTCACCAATAGGATCCTCACACCTTCTATATCCATAAATTTGGCCTAGTTAGATTAAAATCTTTTTAATCTAACTAGGCCATTTTTTGTGTGTGCATTTACATGATACCAGACCATTTATATGGATTAGATCCCCTGACTCTTTTTGATTCTCCTCGTGTAGGAGTGCTGCTGTGGTCTGGGGATCTCTGCCCCCTGCAACAGGAGCGCCCTCAACGTGATGAAAACTGTAAAATCCCACCAATGCAGCATTAATCTCTGTGAAAAATGTATAAGTCAAGTTGATTTCAATCATAGTCTACTGGGCTCAACTCCCAGGAGAATCTAGCAGAGTACTTTTTCTCCCTCCTCTGAGAAAAAGTAGGGCTTTGATTGGGATCAGTCGGCACTCAAAAGACATAATTTATGACAGTTTCGTGGCTGCTTAAATCTGGAGCTGATTTAAAACAATTTCTTAGGTTTCTACGGTTATTAAAATCCATAGATCTGTCTCGTAGGAGGGACAACTACACACACACGCTCCCGCTGCAGCATGTCTGCTCTGTTACTAAACATTAACAACTTTGTGCAGCTGTGAACACTTAAACCTGTATTTGACAAAAATATAGCAGTCAAAATATTTTTAGTTTAAAGTTAAGAGAAAATAGAAACTGCAGAGGATATAAACTAGTTTACTGAAATGAAAGGCTGGGAATATTCAACCTGTGAAATTATATTAGAAGTTCCCTGTGAATTTAGAATGCACTCTTTTTTCTGAAATTCATTTAAGTTTTATTTCCTATCATCAGTCCACTCTGAAAAAAGAACTATTTCAATAAAACAATAGACCCAAATTAATCGTACTCTCACACCAATGATGCAGTTTATGTCCACTTCTGACCAGCTGGAGCTAAAGCCATCTTTCATTTCCTCTGTAAATCATAGAAATCATAAAGAGACTGTAAAGCTTTGAAAGGTAATTTAAAGACTGCATTAGCTGAAGGTATGGCACCTTAAGTTTGTAATATAAAGGAAAAGAAGGAGTTTATAATCTCCTGTTTGAGTAAACCTGCAGGTTTTTGCACCAGTGTGACGACAGTTTTTATTTGTGACAAAAGATTATTTAAAGCCACTTAAAAAGAATATAATGAAGAAAAAACTAGGATAATGACTTTTGATAAGTGAGATTAATTTCACAGTGAAGCAAACCTGATCTCATAAACTATTGCCAAATGGTTTTAAAGTGTGGAGCACTGTTAATGCAGCGGTGGGAAACACATATGAACATTTCCTGACACACGAGTGCGTTTGGGTCATCAATGGAGGGAGCTTGCGGTGCGCCACCTGCTAACACGAAAGCGGACGTCTGCTGCTTTAATCTGTCTGGCTGTCACTTGTAGACTCAACATCGAAAGCTGCTGAATGTGTCGGGACAAGCCGGGTTAAAAATTCCAGGAGAGATTTAGATGCTAAGCGTGTCGGCACAGTTCACAGCCAAACCATCACTTTCTGTTAAAGCTCAACTAAAGACACACCGCTCTGGCTCCGAGACAAAACAATGTCGATGGTTTTCTCACCATGCTGAGCAAGCAGAGTTTGTTCGGCAGACTGTTTATACATGTTAGTTTGTACAGCATGAGGATAGCAGCATGGTCAAATAAGAGCCTTCATGTTAAGTTTTACAATTAAAAGTTGTTCTTTTCAAGCTTCAGTAAGAAATACATAAATTAAAAATAGCCCAACTAAAGTTCATGCAGGACTCAGCTGGTTAACTAGCACTATTTTTATTTTATTATGTTAAAGGTAACTTTTGTAAAAATATCTCTTTTTACATATTTGTTTTAACTATCACTGTCCTGACAATACAATATGAGATAATCTGTGAGAAAAAAACAACTTCCTTCTCCTTCCTGCACAAATATAGTAGCGCATCGGACACAACCAGAGCCAAGAGGTTGTGTCATATGTTGCATCTCTGCTTCCATTCTTCCATTTATAGCTACAGCTACTGTTTTATGTGACAGAACAACACAAAGTGGACCAGAATTGATTAAACATGACTAATTATCTAAACTGTTACAGCTTCACAAAAACCAAACAACACAGCAGATCCTTCATGGAAAAGGTTGAGGACAAGCTTAGATCACATTTAGGTTGCAAAACTCAGCAAGGACGACATTATTCTGAGAAGCAGATAAGAGATCATGGTAACCCTGAGGAAGCTGCAGAAATAAACACCTCAGGTGAAAGGAATGAGCTGAAAGGACACCTACTAGTTGTGCACTCCACAAATCTGTGGAGAAATTATGGGAAAATTAAGAAAAAAAAGCAATAGTAGAAATAAAACTTTCAAGAAGTCAAAGTTTTAAATTCAACACAAACCATGTGGGGGGCAGAGGAAACCTGTGGAAGAAGGCGCTCTGATTAGATAAGACCAAAACTCAACTTTCTGGCCAAAATACAAAATACTCTTCCCGGAGAAAATCCATCACCCTAAAGAAACCATCCTCACAGTGAAACATGGTGCAGTAGAGACTCGTTCTCTTCTGGGAGGTGGATAGTGCTGAATACAGGAAGAAAACCTGTCATTAAAGGCAAACGACTTAAGACTGGAGCAGAGCCTCATTTTCCAGGGAGTCAACAACCCTCAACATAAATCAATGGGTTGGTTTAGATTCCAGCATATTGATGTATTAGAACAACGTGGTCAAAGTCTAGACCTAAAACTGACAGAATCTGCAGTAAGCCATGAATCCCTCTATCAAATCTGACTGAGCTTGAGCTGCTGATGAGCAAAGCTGAAGGACTGAATAGAATGTAGATCAAAGTTTTCAGATTTTTATTTGTAAAAACTAAAAATAAAACTGCACAATTTTCCTTTCACTTCATAAAGTGCTACCCTGGGTCGGTCTGACAGATTAAATCCTAATACATTGACGATTACAGAAGTAAGGTGACAAAATGTGGAAAAGTTCAAGAATAACAGCTACTTTAACAAGGCACAGAACGTTCCGTTTTGTTTTTTGTTACATTTTTGAAGTAGTTTGGGTTTTTGGGGAAGAAAAACCTGCCAAAATATTCAGAGGGAGACTTGATAAGTGTTTCTAGGTGTGAGGTTTTCTTTGCTAAAGCTAGAGAACGGGTATAATTGATTAACTTCACCCATTTAACAGCCCTTACATTATTTATTCAGACAATTTTTCATACTGCTTTTTTTCTTTTCAGTAAAGGTGCCATCAGTAAGCACAAAAAAAACTCTCATGGACAGAATGAAGAATTGCAGCCCCATTGAAATGCAGATTTTCTCACATTGAGGCCTGAAGAGGAGTCCTTTGCAGCTCATCTTCGGCTAATTCCATCTCAGAGTTTTAAATGTCCAACTTTTAGATGCTAATCACAGCTGACGCTGCCTGAAGTGACTCACGCAAAGACATTTTTGCACATTTCCCTCAGGACTGACAAACCCTCTGGATGACTTACCGTGCCCGTCACTTTGACGTCATGGAGACGGCTCCAGTCCTCTTCATGACTATCAACTATCATCTGTCCGTCATCCTCCTCCATCCTCCATTCAGCATTCAGGTCCAAAACCACTTCCTCCCCGAGCGAGTGCATCCCCACTGCAGGGTAGAGATCTTCAGGGGACGCTGGGATCTCAACACTGCCAATCTGAGCAAACGTTTGGAGACCCGGAAAATGTTTAGACACACACCTGGTTAGGGTTTGTATGTGAAAAGCAGGACTCTTACTTCTTCACCATTCTTGGTAAAAAACACCGTTATCTGTCCGTCATCGGAGTCAAACGATATTCCACAACCGATTTTGTCACCTCTGCAGCACTTGGCACCGAACTGCTGTCCAACTGTGCTGCCATTATAGAGCCTGCAGGGAAGAGACATGGGGCATGTTAATATATGAAATCTGGCAGGTTATTTGCCATGTCAAGCCTTATCATCTTCTAAATACAAGACACATAGCACTGTGAAGAGAACTGAGTAAAAAATAACATGCAGCGACTTAACGCAGAATTAATATCGCTTCAACTTGTTACATTAAAAAAGCAACATTTGGATTTATCATAAAAAACAGCATAAACTAACGGATGACTGAGGAGGAAAAGAAGAGGGGATTATCTTGGTGAGTTTGCAGTTGTGCCATACTCTTTACATTTTAAATGTATCGAACAAAGCTCTATGTCACAAGTGTCAAACTCCAGTCCTGGAGGGGCCACTGCCATGCAACTTTTAGATGTAGTCTGCTGCTCCACATCTGAATAGAATAATTAGGTAATTAGCAAGGCTCTTGAGAACTTGTCTACACAAAGAGGAGGTATTTAAGCTATTTCATTCCAGCGTTTTGTACCTGTGGCACAAAACTGCAGGACAGAGGTCCCTGAGGACTGGAGTTTGACACCCCTGCTCTACGTGATGTTCAGATCTTGGCATATTATTTTACAGCCTATCACTGCTTTTTTATATACCGTGAACTACTTTCCAGACTGGCTAGAAGCTGAGATCAAATTACAAAGGCAATGCTAATAAAAATTTTAATATAAGAAATTAATTAGTAACACTTCAAAAGGTCGGACTGGATTTTATTTAGGGGTATTAGATTGAAGGGAGCAGAAATACAAATCACACCACATTTGAGATTCTTATGTGAAAAACACACACACAAAAAAAGAACCAACATTAGTCCATTACATAAAATCCCAACAAAATACAGAGACATTTCTAACCATAGTTTCACAAAATGTGGCAGAGTTAGCAAGGACTGAACTGAGCCAGAGATGATCTAATCTGCAACCTAACAATTCATTGTAAAGATTAGAACAAATCATCATGACCTACTTGCCATCATCGGCATGAAAAGCTACAGAGTTTGGGAGCCAGCCAGGTTGATGGTCCAGCTTGTGGGACTGAGGCACCAAACCGACAGCAATCATCCCCCTCACTCCTGTATCATTGACAGTCACCTGGAAAGAACAACGACTCCATTATTGCAAGACAAACACATGCCAAGAGCCAAAGCAGCCCTCTGGGTGGGAATGTACATTTATGTCTGGTATGTTGGTACAAACACGGGAATATTAGAAAACGAGAAGCTGAGAAGAGACTTACTGCCTCTAGTTTTTAATGACAAAATCGATTAGATTTTATTTTGCAATGAGTTTGTTCTGTTTTTGCTTGATTACATTTCTAAGTCAAGCATTCACAACTGTTGTCATAACTACACAGTGACCACATAACGTCAGCCTCAGGGCGCCCGATTGGGCACATTTATAGCACAATCCACGGAGACAAGGAAGAGGAAACTTTCAAATTGTTTCCCATGACCTCATTTCACCGCTGGTTCAACGGGCGTAAAAAGTAATAAGCCTGTGTTTCCCTGTAACCGGCAGAGAAACCCCCACATCTCCAATCAGCTCTCCAATCTGTAAACTTTTCACTTACTGCCACATAGCTACGGTTTTCTTTCTCTTCCTGAACCGCTGAGTCAGAAGAATGAGCCGCCAGTAAGTTTCGGGGGTGAAAACTTCACCGCACATTAAACCAGCCAGGATGTAACTGTAAGGCAAGTTAGAGCATGGCGAACTCAGAAACACTCACCGTCCTCAAATGCTTGTCATGTACAGTATCTCCATCACAAAGAAATGAGCAGGCGCTCAGAAACCACAGTGACGACCAAAGGTAACTGAGTCATAAGCGCCTAAAGGTAAAAAATTACAGCTCAAGCTTATCTTTATGCCTCGGTGCTGCAACTGTAAGGTCTGAATTTTTACTAATCTGTTAAAACCTAGATTTGTTGGGATTTTCTGATGTTAGTTAAGTTTTAACTAACATCCAATCGGCTCAAGTCGGATTTGAGCCGATTGATAACATAATTAAAGTTTGGCATTCTTCAGAGCAAGCAGGCATAGTTTAGGGTCTTTTAGTGCAAATTCAACACCACAAAAAGTTTTGCAATGTGGATTTATAGACATACAAAGAGTTTCTTTAATAACAGCTTGAATCACCAAATAATTACAGCTATCTGAGTAATGAATCTACTACATTTCTATTTGTAAAGAGGAACTGTTGAGTGGTTTTACACATTTATTTTGAATGTTTCCTCTGCAGCAGGAAATACAGTTCTGCTCAGAAGTTTTCCCACATTCACCACAAATATCAGTGTCATCATTTTGCTGCTTTTAATGATGCAATTGAACCGTTCATGCAGTTTTCAAAACAAGAAATACAGGCAAAGTTTTGAGTTTACTGAGGATTTTACCCAACTTATACAGGGTTAAAATTATACAATTTGGCTTAAATTTATGAATATTTATAACTAATATTTAGTTAATTCAATTCTATTCTATTTCAATCCCAAAATATAGTTGTAATGTCCACTTTATTTTAAATATTTAGCTGTGAGTAGGAAGAATCTCCTGCAGTGGTCAGTATTGCAGCAGATTGGAAAAACCCTCTGACTCAAGAAAACCTAGTGAGTTGATTTATCTTTCTTTACACAATCAGCTCCAGAACAGAGTCAGCCTTCTTTAAAAAGGCAGTAGCATGTCTTTTCCAGGCACATTGTGTCATTTTACAGCAAAATTAAGTAACTATGTTACTTTCAGTTGTTAGAAAAATGCAGGGTTTTTTTCTACATGATTTAAAAGAATTGATTTTGCAATTTGACGGCTTAAAATTGAGCTCTTTCTGATATTGTGCTTTCAGTGAGTCTTCACAACAATAATTTTCATTAGAAACTGTTTTTGTGGAAATAGGTGGCACTTTGTGGGAGCAAGGCAACCCTGAATGTTTGCCATGGGAGAATAAAGTATTTCTCAAAGATGAATAAAATAATCAAGCAAAACTCCAGGTCTGACTTAGATGAGGGAATTACATCATATCATAACATCAAGCTCAAAAAAGTCAGTTTTACACAATATTCTGCCTACAAGACTTGTTTTGAGAAAACCAAACAGCATATCAACACAAACATCTCATCAGCTGTCCTGAACTGTGTTGCAGGGTTGATGATTCAGGCTCCTTCTGCAGCTATGGAAATAGCAACCCTTTGGAGTCATCGAGTCCATCATGAACTTCTTTATAGTAAACTATTCTAGAGTCAATCTGTGCAGCAACTGAGCATCATGGAGCAAGACAAAGAACCCAAACACAGCAGTAAATCCACAACAAAATGGCTGAATAGGAGAAAACCAAGCTGTTGTGCTGAATTAATAAAGCTGACTGAAATGGGATGGCAGGACTTTAAGAGCAGTACATAGACAACATGAAGTGATGTTTTAATAAACAGTGGGTCAGAATTCCTCTATAAAGATGTCAGAGACCGATAGGCAAGCCTACAGCAACTACCTCGACTCCTTCTTGCTAAAAGATATTGGCTAATTTTGGTTTCATCTATGATAAATAATGACAGTCTGGCATAGCTTGCATTTCTTTGTACACCTGAGGAAAGAACCTGGTAAACTCTCAATGAGTTGTACCATGCAACAGCTGAGTAAAACTGTAAAACTGAAGGAGGGTGTACTTTTATTTCCCCATGATTGTGTATCACATGGTGAGTAACACTGAAGCTGCTGCTTTCACATTAATAGATACATGCATCCTGTTGTACAAGTACCAGAGAAAATATGAGCTCCTGTGTGAAAAGAACAATAGAATAAGAAGGAACCATCAGCTCTTACTTCAAAATAGCGCCTCTTTTTTGACAAGGGTCTGCCTGACACAAAGCAGCCGACCTCATCTGAATCCCCATGGTACCTACATATGCATCAGGAACAAGACAGAGTTATTACTTCAGCTGAGAGCGTGCAGCTTTCTCACTTTCAGCTTGTCCATCACTATTACCTGAGCATGTCGCCATCTCTGAACATATTCCTCCACCGATCCCGGTAACGCACTGCTCGCACGTCACGAATTTCTCGAATTCGCCTCCTCCAGTTCAGAAAGCGATAATGAAGGTTTATGTCGTCCATGTCTGAAAATCATCCCCAGCCTGAGGCAGAAACAAAAAAATAAACAGACACCAAATGCAGTCGTGGTTTTAAACGTTAATGTTCAGAAAAGACACAAAACATGAAAGGCAGAAATTGAAAAAAAAAAAAAAATCAAACAAAAGAATAAAGTTGTGGGGTTTAAACACATTGGAGTAGAGGTGTCTTAGTGATACTTAAAGTAGTTTTATGTCCATCATCATTTTGTTTAATACAGTTTTCTGTTGAACTTAAACATTATCCTGTAATGTTTTCCACCCAATGTTGACCACAAGATTATCACCACTGTTGCTTAACAACAACATATTTATGGATTTGATCCTTAGGCCAAACCCTTCCCTTTGAGAAGTTTGAGATTTTCTATTTAATCCCCTATCCCAGAGACAAGTACAGGCCTGGACATGGACTCAGCTGCCAATGGGCATAAACATAAGACCAAAACGGTTTTAACCGTGAGATGGTATTGGGCCTTTTCCTCAGGTCTTCAGAAGCATTTGTAAAAATGTACCATTCAACAAAAAGGGAGTCTTCTAACCAAACTCAGGACTTCAGTTCAGAAAATCTAAAAACTCAAATACATCTATGAATGGTATATCAAAGCTCAGCATAAAATATTAAAGTAATTGCAAATTAAATCCAGTTAACGTTTTTTTATTTTCATCAGATGAATCTGTGACTGGCTTTCCTGTAAACTAAAAAGCAACTTATTATTAGAAAGTTTATGGCGCAGTTTTGTAAATTTACATAAAAAAGTATCCAGAATATAACTTATATCTCTTTTTTTCATTCCTATTTTAATGAACCGTATATCATAACATCACCGGGGATCGTTGTCTAATACTTTACTGCATTGCCAATGGTCTTGTGAGTCAACTGAATTGATCTGTTTGTCTTTCTGCCGACCAATAAATCAGCAGTATCATCCTGCCTGCTACGTCACTCTCATTTACCTAAAACTCAACTCTGTATGTTTCCTATATGGAGGAACAATGACTTGAAACTATGAGTCCTTTAGGGCTAAACTGACGTCTAATATCAGTTACCTGGACTTAATAGGTCGTGTGTTCTGAGAAAGTAAATTCCGGAGATGCTCAGTTTTAATGATGGTGTATGAATACGTCCTAAACCATGAAATTACGAGCCGCCCCTAAACGCAGCCTCGTAAAGTACACGCAGGACTGTTGGCCGGCTAGCTGTTTCCAGCGTTAAAACATTACCGCGCCGTGGGGCTGATTATGAAACGAAAACGGCCGTTTACCCCACGTCACGCCGATGCTATTCAAAGACTCTTAATCTTACGCTGGTTTCTTACTGTTTTATAACTTGTAACGCGTCGTCCGTCGGCTTTTTCTTCTTAATTTCAGGAGGTGAAGTCTGTCACTTTATGTCCAACCTGCTCTCCCGGAAGTCCCGCCCCTTCAACCAATCAAATGAGAGGACTTTTTAACCCGCGCAGTGCCAAAGCGCAGGAGTTTTGAATGTATTTTAATCATTTTCTAAAAACATTTCTTTTTTAATATATGCTTATTTTTGGTCCATTTCATTTTGTTTTATTTATGTACGTGCTTATCTTATTTTAAATTTATACTTTCATAGTATGTGATTAGAACCATCTTTTATTTCTGGCTTTTGACTTCTGATTGACAAAAATCAGTGTGGTCACAGACCGTGCATCAAAGACCACTGCCGTAGGACAGTGACACAGAGTCTGGGACTGTTCTGCCCAAAGCTGCTAATGTTACTCACTGAGCATTGAGACACACCTTGACAAGTCATTTCCTCACAAACTGCAACCAAGTTTGAAATGCTGTGAAATCATTCAGGATGCAGTTATTAAAGAAAAGCAGTTAACCAGCCGCAAGTTGACGCAAACGCCGTTGGTAGATAAATGCTTTTATCAATGAACTTGTAATCTGGCTCTAGATCTTGTACAAGATTTAGAGCCGTTTGTTCTCCAATGTAAATGCTGCTGGTGGAACCCGTGTTATGATGAGTGGTAATCAGAATAGATTTTAGTATTGCACTGTTTAAAAGGAAAATATGAAATAACAGCTTCATGTGGAGCTTTTCCCTCCCAAAAAAAAATCAAGTTTGAGCTTCTGCCTTCTACCTACATGTTAGGTAGAAATTTGGATCTTGGAGTAACAATTTCCAAATTAGAAAATCAGTAAGAATTATCAATTGTTGGCTTCAGTTCAAATTATCACTTTGCCAGTTTAATGTGTATATTTCACTAAAGTTCTTTCAAATGAAGAGATCTTCATTACTGGCACTATTTTTACTTAAGCCACTGTATAGCACTTTAAAAGCATTTTTTTGCACTTTATTAGCAAGCACTTTATTTAGCGCTCCACTCTAAGCATAGATTTGCAAATAAATAATTTGCACACAAGAAGTTTTAATTGTATTTATTGAGCATTTTTAGTAATTAGCCTTTAGCCTTTTGTTCTGGGCTCTGCACAGCTGCTCCTCATTGAGAAGTGAGGTGGTTGCCTGTGAAGGGAGGACAACTGTTACTCAGAGCAATGAGCTACTGGTGGGTAAAACTGAGCAAAGGTTTGTGCATAATCTGTTAAGTGTGGAGTGCTAATATGAAGTGACTCACCTGTCTTTTCTGTTTCCTCTCCAGAGTGTTTGGACAAATACTACGCAGGGCTTCCAGACACCATTTATAGGTCACGGGAGAGACCATTGAAAAATGGGGGTTTAATTGCTTATGGGTTTTGTGGTGTTTCATTGTGGTGTGACGATAAAACATAAAATATTTATGAAAAGTAAATGGAAATGTTTGTATTTAGTAAAAGGTATTTTATTTAAATAGGTGGAGATTGGGGAATTGAGATCCCCTGTGAATCAAAAGTGGTTTGGTCCGTCACAGCTGGGAGTATTAAAGGCTGCAGTTTCACCTGTGAAATGATTGTCATTATTGATGCTGTGAGAAGAATAAACCACTGCTGTTCCACCTGATTCTGCCTCAACTTTTCCATCCTCACTGTAAAATCCAGCTGCAAAAGATTGCCTTGTTACAGTCTTTAAAACTTTAAAAAATAATAATAATAAACAAATCATCCATGGATTTAAACTGTGGCATATGAGTTTATTTTTCATTGAAATAATGGATTAAATGGCAACCAACAGCTTAAATTTTATTTATTTTAGCTGTGTATTATCAACTGAAAACATGTTGTACCATCCATTTTCTTGTTGGATATGAATCCACTGATCAAAGGAAACATCAAAACTGCAAAATATTCCAGTACTGAAGTGGTGAAATGATCATGAAGCACCATCAAATAACCAACCGACGATACAAGCTAACAGCAGTGCATGTATCTGCATTTTATACATTAAAACACTAAAAGAAAAACATGCACCAAAAAACGTTTTTTTCTGTGCAATTTTGTGCAAAATATTTAATGTAATAAAACTCACCAGAAATGTAAATTTACCAATTTACCAGAAATGTAAATTGTGTAACTATTGCAAATATCACTATCACAAATCCACTAGATTTGTGGCGTTAGGATTAGGAAGAAACTTCTATATTTTGATCTTTAAATTATGTCTTTAAGGGGACCTTGCTGCACATTTTCCCAAATTTAATCTTAACATGTAAATCTAAACAATTAAACAACATTATTAAGCCAAAGCCCAAAGTGTTATTTTCTTCCTGTTTTGTTTTAAGCCATGTTTGATTGCAATACGGTTCAAAAGTATGAGATCTGGTGATCTAAAGTATTACTGAATTACTAAATATTCATTCAGTCACTGGGTAGACTGGGTTCTGGCTCACTGGCCTGGTCTACCACATTCAGGCATCGTCTCCGTAAATAAATGACTCTCCAGATGGGGAAAAGTCAGAGCAATGGAGCGTTAAACACTGTGATTACCTGTGATTTATGCCAGTGTTGAAAACACCACGGTTCTCCATGCTGACAGACAACAAACTGGTTGAACGTGTGTGAGTCTTTGTGTGTGTGTCATGTCAAACTGGGGGTGTGCTCAGCTGGGTGAAAATGAGAGGAAAATCTAACATTCTCCATCTCGTACCCTCCCATATACCTTTACTCGCTGCTGGAGGCTCCTTAAAAGGTGCTGCCAGTTGTGTCTGTCTGCCTTATCATCACTGTCTTGGCAGAAGGAAATTATACCCAGCGATTATAGACGGAGAGACTGCAGTCAGAGGAGTTAAGCATATCCGAGGATAGAACATTTTTACAGAAACGTAGTGGTAGCCTCTATTAGGATGAAATTATTTCTGGAAAGCCTTCAAATCAAGATGCTGCTGTGTGTAAACATTTTGATACTGCTCGTCCGGGAGGTTGCTCTGTCAAGCATCCTGACCACACCATCAAGAGGATGTCCAACCTGCGCAGGAAAGCCTATGGATTTGAACGTGGCCTCTCTGGCTCCTGGGGAGCCGTGCGGCGTCTACACTCTGCGATGTGCCCCAGGTCTGCGGTGTGAACCTCCACAGGATGAGCCGAAGCCCCTGCGTGCCCTGCTGGAGGGCAGAGGGGTCTGCAGCAATGTCACCAGCACCACACCAACTCCACAGGTCTACCCTGCAGGTAAAGCATACAGAGCTGCTTTATTAATGACTTTCTCTGCCTCATCTGTTGACTGGACCCTCTATATACGTACAGCTCTCCTCTACGGATTTCAGTGTCATTTCAAATGTTAGGTATTTTTTTATTCATATTTTAGGCTGGGAGTTATGTGTTTTGTGAAGTAAAATGTATTTTAATAGTCTGAAACTCTGTGCACATCATCAGCTGATGGTTTTTCAATAAGGGTTGCTGCAGGGCTGAGTGGATGAATGAGTAACTTTGGTTTAGAGGGTTTGGCAAATTACCACTTTACTTTGGATGTGACTGGAGAGAATTTTAGGCACAAATACAACTTCTGTATTGAATGGCCAGAAAATAATTCCATTGTAACTTTTCATTACTTTCCCACAGACAGAGATTTGATCAATCTGACTGCCTTTTGTCTGCCACAAGTTAAACATGGAGCAAAAGGATGCACAATAGCTACTTGAAATTTTCCTTTTGCATCTTTATCAAAGTAAATAATGTCTGTTGTATTTCCCTTTGTCTGACCTTAGAACCGGCGCCAACTGAGGAGCCCAATGAGGTATAAATGATCTATTTCAGCAAAGTGTAAACTGTTTACCATACACTGTTGACCCTGCATGTGTCCGTCTCCTCCTTCAGGCTCCCTGTCGCAAACTTTTAATGAAAGCCATCAAAGGTCTTGATGCCCATTTATTTAAGTCCCGTTATGAAATCTACATACCCAACTGTGATAAAAGTGGTTTCTACAAAAGGAAGCAGGTAGGATTTTAAATAAAGAAAAACCATGTAAGAAAATTCAGGTTTCATTTCACGTATTTAAACTAATGATATTTAGTTTGCATTAGACAAACTACACACGTATCATTGTATTTGGTTGACTCACCTGAAAAGAAAATATCTGGCCAGGTGGATGTATTATGACTATCAAAGAAAAGTCAGAAAACTGTAGATTAATGGCAATAGAAAGCAAAATTGAAGTTTTCCTACCTCTCCTGTGTCCCTGAAGATTTTTTTTTTGCATAGTTTTGGCTATATTGATGCAAATTGCTAAACATTTAGCCAGGTCACATATTTTGGGGTGAAGTTCCATTTTTATGTGTTTTTTTTTTTCTTCCAGTCATTTTCATGATTTCTAAGTTAAATAAAAAATAACCTTTGCCCCATTTATAATACACTATCACTGCATCTTGATTAAATCATAATGTTGCCATGTTTAGATCTGCATGTGTCTGGGTATGCCAGGGAACTGTTTGAAAAATAAAAATAAATAAAACAAAACATTTTACTGCACGACCTGCCTCATACTAATTCTGCTTTTTTTATTTTTTATTTTAGATGGACTTAACTTTGCATAGAAAATTTAAGTCAGTGATTTGTGTACATTCATACACATATTCCTTTTTTTATAAGATCCTGTGTCAGTCATCAGGCAGAAAATTGGTAGAGAAGAAGGCAAGATATACAGCAAAGGTGTCAAGGGTCATGACCTGAACCCCAGACTGAACTCCAACGAAGCCTCCACAGCAACACCATGTGGTTCTGCAATATGCACTTCTTTTTCAAGCCTTTAAATCTTCTAGTGTGAAATGAGATTCCTCTGACATCAGTGACATCAGCCCCATATCTCAGATGTATTATTTTGAAGTAATATCAGTCTTTCCCACAGAAACAAGGTGGTTTTGATTAAGCACTCATTTCTGCTCATTTGCTCTTTGTGTGCAGTGCTGGTCGTCTCTGGGGAAGCAGCGTGGAAAGTGTTGGTGTGTGGACGAGAACGGCCTCCCCGTCCCACCCAAGACTAAACAACAGGGCAACGTGATTTGCTGAGGAACGGGAAGGACGTCACAGATGAAGGAACATCGGACTAAAACCTGAACTCGCCGTTTCATACGTTACATTTCTGTCAGATGAAAGCACATCTTCATCTCCAAAGAGCTGCGTAGTGATCAAACTTTGTCTCCTGACGCCCTCTGCTGAATACACTCAGATTGCGCTGATTTGATTCTTTCACTTTCAGCTGCATTGCACATTCAATGGAGATCGGACTGCAACTAAAAGTAATCCAGCCATTATTGAGCACAGAATGAAAGCATTGCATATTTGATGTACTAAAAACTGTGTAGCAAACCTTTAAACCTTTTAAAAACTGATTCAGCCAAAAAACCTTAACACTTTTTAAAGCAAATTAAAACTTCCAGAAATCAGTGGCACAGCATTCACAAGCTAGTAATGAGAAATTGCAAACTCTTTAACGACTGCAAAAGAGTATTCAGGTTCTGTGACCTTTACAGATTTTCAGTATGCTCCTCCTTGCTATCCTTCGAAACCACTCTGTTTTAAAAGTACCTGCTGCATATAAAACATGTCGCCATATTTATATTACTGTATATACGTCTATTTATGTCAAATTGTTCATTATGTTAGTGTTACATATAAAAGCAAACACTAGTACTCCTGTGAGGGAACTTAGGAACCTGAATGTTTTTTATTTATAACATCGGTGATTTTTAATATTGATTATGATGACTAATAATTTTAGGCAGTATTACATTAATGTCCTGGACAAACTGCTTTGTGTGTAATGTATTCTTGTGAAGTAAAATATTACTCAAAAAAAAAGTTCTTCCTTCTTTCTGTATAAACAAATGGACTCATGATAAAGAAGTCAACTAGCTGCCTAAAAATGTATTAAATACCTTTAGGCTTCTTGTGTTTCCTGTAGCATTTCTTGCAGCATTATAATTGGCTGCAATAAAATTGACAATTTTATTTCTTTATAGATGATAGACATATCTTTTGAGACAGCACCTTGTATTGGACTTTAACATATGGGAAAGTGTTATCTGACCTTTCTAGGAAGAGTCAGAACATTTACTGATAACATCTGAGGCTACAAGATCATTTAAACGAACACATACTGATGAGAAGGAGATTAAGTGAAAGAAAGCACCAATAGTATGAGAGCATAATAAAAATATTAAAACATCAATATTTAATAATAGAGTTTAGAACCACAATTCAAAATAATTCCCCTGATGCATATTTGATGTATTAAAAACTGTGTATCAAGTCATATTAGTAATATCTATACTGACCTTAATATCATCCTAATTTGGCTCATCATTTCTATGAACCGGATTAAAAAAGGAGCATCTGATGAACTGAAGAGTAACGCATTATAAGAGGAAGTATAAGAAAAAATAAAACCTCAGAAAAGTTTTTTATTAGATTTTAAACAGTTCATTGTCAGCTTCCTGGCAGTAAGATTATATAGGTTAAAATGAAGCCAGTTAATCCCAGTAACCCAAGTTAAATGTTCATAGCTCTGTTGACAAATGCTAAAAGATATGTAAAAAAAAAAAATAATAATAAAAAGTGTTATCACAACCAGAGGTTATAGTATGTAGCCACATTACTCAGTCCTGCAGCACAAACACTGTTGTTGTTGTTATTATTTATTATTTGTAATAGTAGCAGTTAATACTGGCTCAATCACCATCAACCAAATATAGTTATACAAATATTTTATATATTAATAAAATGTATACTTTGCCATAAAAACTAAAACCACGCTTGAGATGTTTGCTATCAAACTTTTTTGGGGGGTCACTAAAAAAAGTCAGAAATTAGTAATTTCGTCAATTGAAATGTCATAACTTAAAACTTAAATGCACGTCTACATAAAATATTTCTTAAAGGGGTTATTTCTTAAAGGGGTGACCTGAACCGAACGCATCTTCTGAGCGCTTTATTTTTGAAATAACTTCCAAACGGTGGTGATATTGGGGGCCTGGTGCGCCCCGGTGTTTCCCGGTCCTCTCTGTGCCTCTGCTCAGGCCCCACGTCTCTGTGAAATAACCCTGCAGTCGCCTGTTAAGGTCCCTGCCACTCTAATACCACAAAGCGCACATTCATGAGATAAATACAACATAAATCTAGTTAATGTTTAATTCCATTGATTGCAGTATACGCTGTCCCTGCGCTGCGCTCTTGTTTCACTCTCTGTGTTGCTGGACCGCACAGTAAAGCCTCGGCTGCTGCTGCTGCTGCTGCTACTGCTGAGACTCCACCAGCCTGCTTTACATACACACAGGACTCGACGGGAGCGACAGCAGCAGCGCCTGCTCGCTCAGACCGCGGCACGGAGAACCCGAGACAGCGCGATGTCTTCCCCCGCCTCCTCCGGGCCCTCCGTCCCCCCGGGCCCTCTGAAGCCCAAAAGGAAGACGAAGAAGAAGCACTTCGTGCAGCAGAAGGTGAAGGTGTTCCGAGCCAGCGACCCGGTGCTGAGCGTCCTGATGTGGGGAGTCAATCACTCGGTATGCCAAGCAAGCAGGGCGCCGCAACGCTGCGGTCGGCTCGCGCGCGGCGCTCATTAACCTGTCGCCCATTTGATCATGCGCAGATTAATGACCTGGGCCAGGTGCCGGTACCTGTCATGCTGCTCCCGGACGACTTCAAAGCCAACACGAAGATCAAAGTGATGAACCACTGCTTCAACAAGTAACGCGCTCCGCTCTCTTTGTGGGTCCCTCTCTCTTTGTGGGTCCCTCTCTCTTTGTGGGCCCCTCTCTCTTTGCGGGCCCCTCTCTCTTTGTGGGCCCCGCTTCCTCCGGAGCTGCACAGATTTTCTATACGTTCACGTTTTTCCTGTTTATCATTAAGACTTTCAGCTAGTATTAAAAGTGCGTTTCATAGTACTGCAGTGAGAGCTAAGGTAGAAGTATAGCAATAATTGCAACAAACATGCTTATTTTACTGAACGTAAGTTATTTGTGGGGCTGAGTTTAAAAAAAGGGACACTTTAGCTTTAAAATGTGAGGCAAAACCTTCGAATGGGGGATTTGTTAGAACCTTTCTAAAAGTTGTGCGAAAAAAACTGAGTCCGTTACTTTTCAAACTTGTTGTGTAAAACTGAGTGGGCTTTCAATAATCCCTTAATCCAGCCAGGAATCCAGATGTCGATAACAACAGAGGCAGAATGAGCGAGTTCACAAAAATAAAAGAACTTGGGACTGTCACCTGTAGTGACGTCCAGCAGTTTTTGTGTGAAACAAGAAAAAGTATCCCCTCAGAATGATGCTTCCACCACCGTGCCACTGTTTCATTTTTCCAATCCACTCGCATGTTGTCCAAAATGAGACTTTGGAATCTTAGAGCAGCGTCCTCCACACCTCCATTGTGTCTTATGGGAGACTTTAAAGTTGTTGAGTTGTTTTTCTCAGCAGCTCCGACTCTGTCCTGGATGGACACACACACACACGTCACGCTCATATGGACGTAGGATTTGGATTTGCTTAAGTTTTTTGCTCTGGTTCTAATGTCCTAGTTAATTGTAGCATTTTGTTTTGTTACTGCTTACATTACTTTACTTCCTATAATGCCATTTTGACTTAATTACTCAATTTCCTTTTATTTTGCCTCCTGTGCCATTGCCGTAGTGACATTATATTCGGATTCTTGCTTCAGTTATCATCTGCTATAAAGGTCAGATTTGTGGAACGGTTTTCCTGTCTGCAGTTTTCCCCACCTGAGTTATGGATCTCTGCAGCTCCTCCAGAGCTCTCTTCATCTGGCCTGTGAGTTTAGGTGGACAGTTACATCTCGATGGGTTTGCTGTACTCTTTCCATTTTCAGACGGCGGATTTTACAGTAAAATACAATCTGCTTTTATTAAAGTTCAGCTCGGAAACCGACTGAGCAAAACCGAGTAAGTGTTCGGTAATCCCATAATCCATTCAGGAATGCAGCTCTTTTAGAGACTTCAATAAGAGAGGTGGAATGAGGAATAACAAATGTTTTCTCAAACTGAAAGGTTGTTACTTTAACTTTATTTACTGATGTGAATCTGTGTGTGCGTGCGTGCGTGTTTTTAATATGACCTGCAGTGGAAACAGGAAAACAGCGAGAACTTGAAAATAATGAAAGTGGACACCATGGATAAACTCTGACAGACTGTGGTAAACAGTGGCTCACCGTCCTGCTTGATCAAACTGCTTTTATTCCCAGGGAGAATCTTCCGGGCCAGTTTAAATTCAAAGAGTACTGCCCACAAGTGTTCAGAAACCTGCGAGAGCGCTTTGGTGTCGAGGATCAAGAATACCAGGTATGAATCCAGCATTATTCAGCTTGTGAAAATGCACAAATACATGGATGAGGAACATCTTCACAAGCACACGTCTTTCAGTGTTCTCCTTTTGTGGCAGCGTTTTATTGACGTCCTCCAGTCTGCATTTGCATGGCTTTGTGCTTTATTTGCATGTGCCAGGTGGTGCACCGAGTTATCCTGCAGAACATGCAGCGAACATTAGGTTAGCGCACAATATTGAGCAACATTTTGTACTAGCAAAGCAAAATCTGCAAGTTGTTTACTCAAGAAAAACAAAATGGCGTCTCTGTGTGAAACAGTGACACGAGTCTGCAGATGTCTGCACAAAATGTTCTGTTTTTTTGTTTGGAATAATTTTTAAAATTGCAATCTAATTCAGGAGAAATGATGTGTTGATGACGATGTTCTTCATGCCGGGTGACCTCTTTCTCCTTCAGGTATCTCTGACCCGCAGTTCTCCTCTCAGAGACGAGGAGGGGAAGTACATGGGGCTGCGGCTCACATCATACGACCGCACTTTGGTGGTGAAAGAGATTTCCAGTGAGGAGGTCGAGGAAATGCACAGCATCCTGTCAGAGTATCATCAGGTACTGGCACAAAGCATGAGTTGTTTTTCGTTTTCATCATTTGTGTTTTGTGTTTTGGTCTCGTGAAATCACAAAATTTTTACCTATCTTATGTGACAGGCTCCCTTTGCTGCAAATGAAATCAAGTAGAACAAGTTGCCTTTAAAAGTAATTTAATAACTAAATTATTATCTTGTGTAAAACGCACAAGTCTCTCAGTATAAATCCAGCTGTACTGGATGGTTTTCTGGAAACGTGAAAGAAAACTCTCTGGCCGGATGGAACCCAGATTTGATGCTTTGGTGTACGTGCAAAATGCCAAGTGGACAAAAGTAGCAATTCGCATCACTTCGAACTCAACATCACTTTGATGAAACACGGTGGTGGCGGCATCATGATGTGGGGATGCTTTCTTCAGCAGGGAAAGAGAAGCTAATCCAACTTGATAGGAAACCTGGAAGAAAACTTGAGGTTTCCCTTCCAGCAGGACAATGACTCTAAAATTACAATCAACGCTAATTAAAACTGAATACATACAATAGCATGCCACACTTATCAGATTTTTATGAGGCGAAATTTGAAACCCTAATTTGTTCATCTTTATTAAATATCTACTTTTTGTTAGTAAATTCCCCACAGAACACATACAAATTGTGAAATGATCAAATGTGGAAAAGTATGAAGACCTTTGCATGACACTGACGTTCCTAATATGTAGATAATTTTAGATTGGGACGTGCATTTAATCATAGAGATAATAGTTGTCTTTAACTCTAAGCTGTTTCTGTTTGGAGAACAGAATCTTCAGTATCTCTCATTTCCTTGGCAAAGACTTAAAGCTAAGCGATGAATGACTTTTTTTCCTTCTCAAACAGATTGATATTTATCATACCCACAGTTTTTATTGTTTATTTATTACAAAGCATCTGCATTAATTTAACACAGGAGTTAAGAGGCACATGGATGCGAGAGCTTCCCTCCTGTATCCGTGATGTCTGTCTTTTGTTCTCTGTCCTCCTGCAGCATATTGTCACCTCCCACGGCAGCACGCTGCTCCCTCAGTTCCTCGCCATGTACAGAGTGACGGTGGAGAGCGAGGACACCTACCTGTTAGTGATGAGGAACGTGTTCAGCCACAGGCTGCCAGTACACAGGAAGTACGACCTGAAGGTGAGAGGATTCAGAGTCAGGACAGCAGAAAATAAACGAATAAATAGTGTGCGAGTGTGGACTGATTATTGAATTTGAATCAGTCCAACTTGATTCAAATTCAATAATTTCAAGAGCAATTTGATCCCAATTATGATGCACGTCAGTCACGTGTTTAATAAGTAACACTGATCTACTTTCTCCATTTTTCCATGTTCAGGGCGCCGTGCTGACTCGAGAAGCAAGTTTTAAAGAAAAGGTGAGATCATGTTAAATCTATGCACTCTATCACTTTACATGTGCTGTGTGTGTGTCAGTAATGATGAGTAAAAAAAACCCTTAAAACAAACTCATCTCTCACTGTAGTAATAACTTTACGGCAATCCAGCTTTTAATTTGAGTACATTTGATAGTGATAAAAACCCATTTTGATATAATTGTTTTCTACTAAATTACCGGTGAAACTTATTGACACCTGACTTGGTTCAGTTCATTCACGACAGCAGATTGAGCTTAAACTCTCCCCGCTCCATTTCTTATGTTTCTGAAGGTGAGGCGTGTAAACATCGCCTCATGGTTGCTATGGAGACTTGTGAACCCCAATCTGGGGTTGTGTGACATCATTTGTTTATCGCTCTGGCTACCGTAGCTATTTCTTGACTTGTGAAGATAAACACACGTCTGCCTTTCTTTAATTCCATGTTCTCTTGTTTTCCCCATTTTGAAGAGTGACAAAGAGAAATGTCAGTGGGGAAAAAAGGAAATCATGGGATCGCAGATAAAGGAAACCTGATAGATCTTTAAGGAATAAATTACCAGATAATTGCTGTGTTAAACTTCTAGGAATTGTTAAAGATTGAATTTAAGGTTGTTTTTTATTGTTATTGTTATGTGAAGTGTGAGTTTGGGCTATTGCAATTTATGCTGATGTTTTGGTTGCAGTATGTTTACTGTGTTTGATTTATGCATTCGAAACGAGAAAGGTCAGTGAGAGATTAAGGATTATGCATGGCCAGTTGAAAATATGAAAGATCTGTTTGTTTTTTTACTGCGTCACTTTAACAGTAGCTACTGGTCCACTCCTGTTGTTATCCTTTACTGGGAGTAAAGGACAAGCAGACAAAGCAGACCTAAATAAGAACACCGGGGACTAAAATGCACAGCACTTTGTGTCACCTTTACAAAACAAAATGTGGAGCATGACACTGTTTGTTCAGGTTAAAGAACTGCCCACATACAAGGATGCAGACTTCTTGAATAACATGCAGAAGATCTATGTGAGCGATGAGGAGAAAGAGAAGGTGATGAACAAACTCAGCAGAGATATCGAGGTGAGGAAGTAACGCTTCTGGTGTCTGGATTTGCCGTCTTTTGAAAGGCTTCTACCGCTGTAGTTTTCCTCGTTTCAGTTTCTCGTGCGCATGAGGATCATGGACTACAGCCTGCTGCTGGGCATCCATGACACCGAGCGAGCCGAGAGAGAGGAGGAGGACGACGTGGAGTCATCCTGTGAGGAGGAGGAGGAGGATGAAAACGACCCGGCTGCTCCTCAATGCTCCACTTCCCCCGAAGGAATCGCTGGCTACATGAGCTCGCTCAAGCCCATGGGTCCTGGGGAGTTCGACCCGTATGTGGACGTGTACGCTGTTCAGAGCGCCGTGGGTGAGTGGCACCTGAGCGTCGCCTCACGCAGGGCTGCAAATGGCGAGCGCTCGCCGTACTTTGGCATCAGCGTCACTCAACAGACGCCGTGAATCGTTCCCTCGTAGGTGCTCCCAGGAGGGAGGTGTACTTCATGGGCCTGATTGATGTGCTGACGCAGTATGATGCCAAGAAGAAAGCTGCTCACGCTGCCAGGGCTGTCAAACACGGGGTGAGAGAGCGTTACTCTTAAAAGGGACTGCTTAGCGTGGGGACGCAACACATCTCCGGCGTAAAGGGTGGCTTTCATCCTCTGCTTCCTTGTTTTTCAGTCAGCCGTGCTTCTCTTTGTGCTTTGCAGGCGGGAGCTGAAATCACAACGGTTCATCCTGAGCAGTACGCCAAACGCTTCAAGGAGTTCATTGCGAAGATCTTTGCCTAGTTCTAGGATTGATCGTCTTTTGATGCCAAGCTTGAATGCACAATACCCACAAGAAACTCTAAACATTTACAGCTAAAAATAATCTATGCGGAAGTATTTATGTTTATTAAACTTATGAAAATGTGCTCATATTAAGATCATTCAATCTGGAGCATAGTTCTGGCCTCAGTCATGCCAAACTCTTCCTGTTTTCGGATGATGGACTGCACAGTCTCTCTGAAGGCTTATTTTATTGTGAGCGTCTTCAATTTTAGGCAAAGACAGCCAGAGACAATTAACAATTTGACTATCGTAAATAGACTTTTATTAAAAGGCAAAGCAAATCCAAAACTACTGGAAATTTGCTGGAGAGGAAACTCCTGGGTCCAGCAATTTGCACTTACCTAAAGCAGAAAGGACACAACTTTGAAGACCAAGATGTCTGTGCTTTGGACGGAGAAGACGAGTCGTCTTAAAGAGGCATCAAAGAGGTCGACATTACTAGCAGTCTGCTATTCATCTCACTCTCCCTACCAGGGAGGGAAGCTGTGGAAAACAATTTTCTCTCTTTGCATCCAGGGAGTAAAACCTGCTGGTCATGTGACCTCTTCTGATGAAGTCATGTGACTTACCTTTCTGTGTTAGATGTCAGATATTTCTGGTTTTCACCCATTGCAAGCTGAGAAAGATGCTGGATTGCAAAAATGAAACATTTTGTGCCTTTTTGAATGTTTATTCATGTTTAAAGAGGAAACCTTTGTGAGTTCTGCGGAATGTTCAGAAGTTGAAATATGGATTTAAAACCTGACCCTGCGTTGGTTGATAATGTTCTACAAACCTCTGAGGCCTTTGTTGAAGAAAATTCATTTATACTGAGATTAAATGACACACATTGAGACTGATTCGACTTCTGAAACCATTGGAGTTTATCCAGACGTTTCTGATTAAACACGGCTCAACATTTACATTTTTAAGCTGCCTTTTTCCATTTATGCAACTACGTACTGCTTTGAACTGGTCTTTGAATGAGCAGGTTTAGTTTATGGAGGTGGCAAGATATCATGCGCTGATTTTGCTTCCTTCATCATGATGCTCATGATTTAACAGTGATGTTTGCGTTTCCAGTTGGTAGTCGGGGTCTGAAAGCAACCATCAAAAGCCAACAATAAAAAGAAAATAATTTTGGCTTTTTATTCATTTGAAAATACAGAATGAAATTGCATTGCAGATGTGACAACAAGTCTTTTTGGGCGCAAAATTGTGCATCCTTAGACTTTATTTTAAAAAACTTTGGGCGAGTAAAAACACGTTGATAAATGTGTCACAGTTTGGCCGATAACTGTTTTCTTATTATTATTTATTTTTCTTTACATCCCACCATTAGAGGGGGTTTTAATAGAGCAGGTGTTTGTCTTCTCATTCTCGCAGATAGTAATATAAATTAAGGTAAATCGAGTGATGTGACAAATTCATTTGTTTCTCTAATTTCAGCTCCATTTTGTGGGAATATTGGCATTAGTTGTGATATGGAAAGACTCCGTTATAAACGTGGTGAAATGTTCTGACTGACCTCTTCGACACAGCTAATTAAAATGTTTCAGCTTTTCCTGTGAAAAGCTAATTAAAATTGCAAATGAGGCGAGAAAAACAGGCTGTTATTTCTGTCCTTCGTTCATTTCACCTCGCCAGTTGGCTACATTTTGCCAGGCGTTTCATTATTGCATTATTCAGTAATATAATAAAAGCCTGGCTCAGGTTCAGACATGTTCATAGCACCAAGTCAGAACCAGAAACTCAAGTTCCTTTTATTGGGACTTTATGTAATGAAACACAAAGTAACACAAGATTCTGAAGAGAAAAATAATGCGTAGAAATAAAAGCTGAAAAGTGTGGAGTGTGTTTGTATTCAGCTTCACTGCGTCACAACCTTTTGCTGCAACCACATCTGGGAGTCTGTCTGTGACACATTTACAAACAAACAAAAGAGGGAGATCAGAGGACTTTGTAAAAAAAAAAAAAAAAAAAGAAAAGTAAAATTGATGAGTTATTTTGTGCTGGATCTTCATGTAAAAACTGCACTGAAACACACTGACACTTGTAACATGTCAGAGTGTGAAACATACATTGTATTTGTTTTTGTCTTAGCTTAGATTTATACACAATTAGTTACTACATTTATAACTTGACCACATGATGTTAAGATGCATTAGAGTGATTCATATTTCTTGGTGTCTCTTTGAATGGAGACACCAAGGTTTCTCTGTGATGAAACCTTTATTTTTTTTTTGTCTTTTGTTAGGCTTTCTCGCAGCCCAGAGCTCCTGGCACACATTCCTGATGCTCCTGCTTCCCATGGACAATTCAAAACACAGAAAAGATATGAAGGTTAAAAACAAGTAGCTTGAATTTTTCAATTTCTGTCCCAAAGCTGCAGCAACAAGCTGTGAAAGCTGACGCATATCCGATCCCCGCCCTCTGAGCCGCCCCCGTTAATGGATTCAAACCACTAAAAAAAATAAAAACTTTTTCAAGGACGCACTTTTTAATTGGTTATAAACCCATCAGTTCTGACCTCAGTGTTGATGATTCATTTTTCTTTGCACATTTGTTTTGTTCCTTTTGAATGTGGGAGCGCTTTGAGGCAAACAACCTTGAGAGATCTTGCTTCAATGAGATCGTGAACAAGTCAACCAAAAAGGAGCTCAGAACAAACAGCTTATTTTCTGCCCACACCTCCCTCATCCGTCTCATTCATCCATCAAATATAAAGAAAGGCATTTCCACTTGAAGTTTAAGAAATGAACCTCAAAGTCAATATTTCTGGCTGTGTTTACTCAAGTGTGTAAAACTTGAGTAAATTTACTGTATTAAGAGAAAATAATGCTCGCTGCACACAGGCTGGTCAAAGAGTTAAACACCCTCTTTGACCAGAGGGTGTTGATAAACACCCATGATAAACATGAATGCATATTGGTGTAAAAGCCAGAGGTGGTTAACTATTAGTGTCTAAATACTGGAGTGGTTTTCAGAAGCTTAACTAAACCTGCAGAGGAAAATACAGGCTCATCAGTTGTAGTTAAATATTTGTTTAAATATAACAATAAGACAAGAACTTACAAACTTGCAGGACGACACCTGCAGCAGGAACAGACAGAGACTAGTTCACGGGGTTAAATGGGATGTCACAGAAGGATCCAGCAAGGAGTGACCAAAGGAGAGGTGGTAAAATACTGGAAGTTTGAAGGCTGGGACAATGGACCAGTGCTAAATGGAAAACAAGGTGCAGGTGTGAGAGGAGAGCAGAGGGCAAGGTGAGGAGAGAAACAAAGAGAGAAATGGCAGAGGAGAGCAGAAAAAAATGCCTACGCAAATCTAGCAGTGACAAAAGCTGGCCAAACATAGACAGGCTGTATGTAGTACACATAATCTAAATAAACTAAGAGTAAAACAGAACAAACTGATGCAATCAAAGAAAGTACAACTAAGGCAAACGCAAATAAAACCCCCAAAATCCTGACAGAAACATGGTGGTGGCAGCGTCATGGCGTGGGGGTGCAGGGAAGCTAGTCAGATTTGATGACAAGGCGATTGAGGGTAAATTTAGGAAGATCCTGGAGAAAAACCATGTCAGACGCAGCAGAAAGACTTGAGACCGGAGAGGAGGGTCACCCTCCAGCAGGACAATGACCCGAAACAACACGGCTTGCAGCCGTAAGTACACTGAACAGCAGCACTACAAAATACTGACTTTCAGGGACAGGAGTGTTTCCTTTTGGACTGCACTGGACCAGCAGCTTCCCGCAGCCGTAAGCAGGTTAAGATGCATCCTTTTCCTTCCACGTCACACTTCAGCGCTTTTGTGTTGCATCAGATAGAATCCCAGTGAAACACGCTGAGGTTTGTTGAAGGGGTGTGAAAACTTTGGACACATGACTGCGACCTAGAAAGAAGTAGGTCGGGGGGCCAGCAGAGACTCAGTGTGTCTCCGGGACAAATGTGTTCAAATGTTGCTGGAACATGAATTAATGAAGGGATGAGTCCGTGTTGTACAAATGTCCTCCCAACCTTTGAAGTGTGAGTTCAGTTTATTAGTGGCAGAAAATGTCAATAAAATCTGAACACATGAAACTTACAAAAACCGCACAGCGTCAGAGAGCGACCTTATCCATAATGAATGCTTCTGATTTATTAAATGGGTAAAAAAAAAAAAAAAAAAAACATGGAAAGAGAACAGTGTACATTACAGAAAAGGTCAGCTTTTGGTCACATCAAAAGTACTCCCAGTACTGCATCAGAGTTGATAATTATATAATAATATAGATTTGTTTCCTCTGTTGTGTGTCTGCTTTCAGACACATAGAAACTTCACTTGAAGTAAGTTTGTAAGCTCTTAATATTTAAAGTATACCTTTAATTTCTAGGCGTCACATCAGGAACAATATCAGTTGAAAATGTTATCCTCTAAAAAAAACACGTCAGCATTAGCGTTTATCTACATTCAGTCAAAAATCAGGCCATTTTAACCTATTTATCTAAAGTGATGGGAAAAAGTATTTGCGTCTCTACAGATTTCTTCTGTTTTTGCTTTTTAGTCACACTTAAAATTTGCCACAGACAAAGGCAAAGATATCATGAGATGTATAATTTCACTTGAGGGGACGAAAATGTATCCAAACCGCACTCTTTGGAAAGCTGAGCTGAACTTCACCAGCCTCACTCCACTGCAGAAGCTAGAGGAAAACGCAAATCAGTTCAAAATCACCTGCCCGACAACAGGAAGTAGGTTAAAAGATTTCAAAAAGGTGAGATCAGATCACATCTATCAATCTGACAAGTGTTATGAAGCCTTTGGACTTCAGTGGACCACAGTGAGAGCCTCTATCTGCAGATGGAGGAAACAGGAAGGCGAACCTACCAACGGTACGCCATCAAGGATTCATCCAGGAGCTAACAAAAGAGCCAAGAAATACATAAAAACTCATTCAGAAGAGGCTGGACAATGGACAAAGTGAAACTCACTTCTAACCCAAAACAACCTAAATGATATTTATCAAAAATATCATAAAAGTTCCCAAAGACTCTTGGCGGGACGGCAGTGGAACTGTCTGAAGGTGTGGGTCCAGTTACAGCTGGAGTGAAACTGTCAACATTTGAGAAAAAATAATATTATACCTACAGACAAACATGGTGATAGTGGTAGTGTGATGGTTTGGGCTGCTTTTCTGCAACAGGATCTGAATAATTTGCTGGAGTTGATGGAAAAACGAAGGCTTCTGTCTACCAGAAAATTCTGTGGGAGCACGTCGGGCCATCGGTCTTTCCCTTTGAGCTCAAAACATTTTGGTTATGCAGCCGAACAATAATCCCAAGCACCCAAGCAACTTCACCTCTGAATGACTCAAAAGCTTCCTTTTGGAGTGCCCCAGTCGAAGTCTGGACCTAAATCCAAACGATTTGCTTCGTTCTGACCTCAAACGAGCTGGAAAACCTCCAGGGTGGCTGAACTAAAATGATTCTGGGCAAACTTTCTCCACAACGATGCGAAAAACTCACATCCAATTACTGTAGGTTGTCTGGAAAGAAAATTAGCTTGAGGATGTGAAACATGGAAGTGCGACAAAAAAACATTTTGAAAAACAGAACAAATCTATAAGAGAATGAAAACCTTTTCACAGCTCTGCACGTGTATCTTTTACTATACTCACTTGAACAATGAGCTACTGCGGTATGTACAGTGTTTCACATCAGACACACCAGTAACAGACAAAACCTAAAAAAATCTGAGTTAAGCAGGAAACTAAAACTGAACTGAAACTCTGTACAGTTAATCTCTGAACAGCAATGAGTAACCCTTTATGTTTTATACACAGAAACAACTGTACAAATCATACAGTAATAAACCGGAAATTAAACACTTTTAAATTTGTAGTATTTTACCATTTTATCAACACATTTCTATACAGCTGTTTTATCCCCCTTTATCCAGCCACTAACATATTTCACATCAACTTACACGTAACATAATTTATGCACTTAATGACAAGCTCTGATGAATCTAAAACTCACATTCACTGTCAAAATTAATAATAGCCATAATCTTTTATGCTACGAGCTCAATACATCCCACTCTTAGATTAGTAAACTTATTGCAGTTCTTTTCACTTCTGGGCTTCAGCTGCTCAGAGACGCTGTTTGAGGCCTGCAGGCGGCTTTTCCATTCGCAGCCGAGTGGAGGACAAAGTCGAGAACTGACTGCGTGATCAGGTGTGACTCTGGTAAACAGGTCGGTACATTCTACTTACATCTGAATGCACAGACATGTGGCCACAAACAGAAAGAAAGAGAGAAAGAAAAGATCAGTCCAGCACAGTGTGTTCTCCAGTTCTCATCCCTGAAACACACACACGCACGCACGCACGCGTGCACGTGCGCGCCCCTCCGAGCGTCTCACCTGACTCCAGGTGGACGGGGTGTGTCTGTGTCCTGGATGGACAGGACTCGCTATGACGGCAAAGCGGGCAACACATTCACACACTCACTTTGAAACACGTTGCAGTTACGACACGGCTCTCCTGGACGTGCTGTAGCCCAGGTTGCCGCTGCCGCTCTTCTGCGTGATTTTGATCGTCGTGGCAACCGTCAGGCTCGGCGTCATGGCGGCGGGGAAGCTGGACGTCACGGCCGACGCGAAGCCGACCGTGGCGCCGAGCGCGGGGCCCGCCTCGTTGGGGCAGCCGTGCTGCAGCAGGACGTCGACGCACTCCTGGCCCCCGGCGGCCTGAGCCAGGGCCAGCGCCGTCTGACCCTGAGCGTCCCGATGCCGCACGTCACAGCCGTACTGCGAACGGAGACAGCAGGAAGCCTGGTTAACGTGGGACGCTTATGTCTGACCAACATGGCCTTACGGAAACACTGGGATCTCTGAAATTGCGACAGATCAACACAAATTACTTCATAATTGCAAAGTGAAGTGAAACTGTATCGTCAAAAGTCCTTGCATGTAAAAGTCTGATGCCATGTGCATCTGTGTTTACCCCCTTTATTCTTACGACTTTGAATAAAACTCACTAAAAACTGTTTTTGTTGTTGTTTTGTTTTTGCTGTGGAGTGCTTTTCTGGAGCGGGGATGGAGAATCTGTGTAGAGATGATGGGAAGATGAATGGCGGGAAAAAAAACAGATATACCTAAAGAAAATCTCTTAGAAGCCGCAACAAACTTCAGGCTGGAGAGATTCAGTTTCCAACAGAACAATGACCCAAAATTCACAGACAAAGCTAAAATTAAAAGTTTTAACTCATATTTGTGTGAACAGTCTAGTTAAAAATGACCAATTGTGCTTTGTTGAACAGGTTAGGATGTATAGGTTCTGCAAAAGATGATCATTCTAATTTTTTTTGCACAGAATCATTCTTAGATAATGAGATTTTGCCTATTTTGAGCTCCTCTCAAAATAGGTTTTGGGGCTTTTGTCACTTTGAATCCAAATAAGCTGCAGCTGGCCACGTCCCCAACTCAACATTTGCACTCACTTCTGAAAATGTCTGCAAACAGATGTGCAATTACACAGCTGTACATCTTTGAAAAGAATAAGTAGAGCTTCCTGCACAACCAACAAGAATGCAGCAAGTGATTTCTCTGTTTGGGTTGCTAAAGTAACGTCACAGTATCCATCGATTGTGACTCAACAACTGGGACGTTTTTGAAATTACTCTTTCTCCAGACACCAAAAAACATGAACGTATTACCAGAAAATGGCTGGGCGTTGTGTTCAAGCACTTGGGTTGTTTTTAGAAGCAGTCGAGACCCAAATGGAAGCATAATAAATGTGCAAAAAGCAACCTTTGCATAATAGGTTCCCTTTATATTTGAGGCCTATGTTCAATTGAGGATCTATTACAAGATTTTATTTTTAAAAAGGGCATCAGTTTCAGTATTGAGGTGTGCGAATCAGATACACTCTAAAAAAAACCTTTCGGGCTTCACTAAAGCTAAAAGGTATTGAATGCACATCCCACCTTCTGGTCTTTATCTAAAATCATTAACAAAACATATCAGTTTCCTTTCACTTCACAAATATGTGTTAGTTCATCATAAAAGAGAAATAAATACATTTCACAATTGTGCTTTGAATACGGTTCGTAGGCGTACAAATACTTTTTGCCAGTACTTTTAGTCAGACTCGGCAAAATACCGGCAGGATGACTAGAGGGGAAGTGTAACACACCCAGACCAGAAGCTGCGTCATCACCACATCAGCCTGCTGACAAGCAGCATGCAGGGCAGAGCCAGGCAGGCGCAGCGCGAGCAGCGACCTGGAGGGGAGCGACAGGAAGGGCGGGGCGTTGATGTCCTCTTTCGTGCAGTGAGCCAGAAGAAGCAGCAGCTTGGGCAGATTGCGCTCCATCACTGCCAACAGAAGACGGCCCGACATGCTGATGTCTGGGCCCTCGCTGGGTGTGGGAGGAGGCAACGGCGCCACAAACAGTTTCTGCTCGTATTTGGCTCGGATCCACGACTCCCTCTCTTCTCTGAGAAAAAAAACAAAAACACAGGGAAAAGAGAGTAGTTGGTAGAAATGTTTAGCAAATATTCAAGCAGTCGCTGATTTACCGTGTGGCGTCAGGCGCTGGTTTCCGGTGCCCCATGGTGCGCGCCTCCCATGTACTGTTGACCATGTGGTTCCCGATGGCGCTGAGAACGAGGGTGAGCTCTCGGGGCAGGTCGTCCAGGGCCAGCGAGCGGACCCGGGACAAGTGGGTCCCCAGGTTCCTGTGGATCCCAGAGCACTCAATGCAAATGAGAGCGCCCAGGTTCAGGCTGGCCCACGTCGGATCTACAGCAGGGACGAGACGCAAGCAGCGAATCACACACCAGCTGAAACTGGAGTAAAGATTTAAAGCGTTGGTGTGTAAAATATGCCACGCAGTAATATTTCAGACAAGAGTAAAATTATAAAGATGGAGAGAAATTGGAAAAGCTTTGCTTACATTTTCTTTGCTTCTTTCTGCTTAGATGAGATTTTAATCAATTCAAGTCTTTCACAACAAACACAACAGATTTGGCTCATAAACAGAAACAATGTGATTTTTTTTCCTTTTGTTAAATTGGGTCTTTTTAACGACTGAATAAGAACTGAAGTCAGATCACGTAAGCAGGATTCATCAGCTGGCCTTGATACAAGACGAACAGAGCAATGTGGAGAAAAAGTCTTTTTAAAGCAGGAAAAGCTGCAGGAGGATTTTAGAAAATAAAATAAAAAATGTGTTGGATACTTGTGATAATTGCTCGGTTGTTTTCTGGTTTTGAATATTAAGCTCACAGTTACAGATCATAGTTACATTATAAGGTGCATAATATCTCATTGTCACATCTAGGAAACCCAGATGGGGTTTAGTCAGGGTGGATTAACACTGGCACTATGGGACCCATCTGGGCTGAACAAATACACTCCACGTCAGCAAACCTTAAGGTTCTGTACGTCTTAACTGAGTCTCATTTGGATCATGATTTCAAACTTTGTGTCACAAAGTTTCAAAATACATCCTTCATCACATCTATAGAGGAAATTCGCAGGGCCATGATGTGACCCAAAGGCATTCCCATTTGTTCACAATCGTGACGTCCATTTCCAACCCACGCTTAAATGTTGGCACCACTCAAGGAAAAGAATGTAAGTGTTCTCAGCTTTCTGTTAACTTTTGGTATCTGGATCCAAATCGTTTGCTTTCTTTACAAAATATATTTCCTGTCCAACAAAAAAGAAATAAGAGGTGAATATTCGCCATGGAGCTGGATCGTCTGTGCGGTGGAACGGCTCTGCGGCTTTAGAAGGAAAAGTAGAAAAGGAGCGATTATTACTAACTTGGAGCATCACAGTCCACGCAGAAGTTGTTCCCTTTTGCATTGCGGATGGCCTGCAGCGCCACAGCTTCACTTTGGCTATTCTTGCGATCCTGCAGGAAACCGAGAGCAAATATTGAGAAGAAAGTAACAACCAGCACGCCTCTTTGGTTTGAAATTGTTAGTTTTATTGGCTTTATATGTTCATAGACTGAAATAATAGTTTGATAAGCTTCCTTCAGGTCATTATGGTTTGCTGTTATTTAACTTCCAAGGTTTTTGTTCTGTTACTTTGAGATCTTCATTGATTTTACGATAATCATTCTCTCTTGATGTCCTTATCTTTTATCCTGTGGTATGTTATATCTCAATATTCTTCATTACAGAAAGTTATGGTTAAGGGAGTGTGTCCTTGGTTTCCAAAGCCATTTCTAAGTGTGTGAGTGTATGTGGATTGCTTTAATGTGTGTGGGTGTTCAGGAGGTGGAGGGAGACTCTTTGGTTTCTGTTATAAAACGACAGATTCTTCTGGAAATAAAAAGTACTAAAATAAATAAAGATCAACTGATTTTTCTAGACGTGGAACTTCCTCAGAGACGCTTCCTATCATGTCAAACTACCTAAACTCACACTCAGTCCTCTACCACACATCTATTCTGCGATATTTAAATTCAACCTTTAAATAAAGGTTTTATCAGCCCTCTGTGTGGTGGTACACATGTTATACATGGACTGTGGTGAGCTGCTTGCCTTGTTTTTGCTGCTCTCACACAGCTGCAGGCTGGCCAGGATCTGGCTCTCGATGGCTTGGACCCAGGAGTCCCTCTCCTCCACACTCTGGGCCTCAAAGTGCCACGTTTGACCGGTGCTCGACACAACCAGGAAGTCAAAGTTGTCCTCCTCTGAGTCAGACACAAGCAAACTTTTGAGTTCCTGTATCGCTGTTTTATCCTTCTCCTCCAAAATCTCAAAATAAAATCTGATGGAGAAAATATCCCCTAGACGTAAAAACCAAAAAGATACTTTTGGTGCAAAACATTATGTGCGGAGAATAAAAGAATTGCATTAACCTTCACATATTATCCCCAAAGTGAAACATGGTGGTGCTGATTGTTTTTTTTTTTTCAGTGAGGAAGACGTTTAGAGTTGACGAGAAAATAAAAGTCAACCTGGAAAGAAAATCTGTTAGAGATACTTTTACCCTGAGGTTATCATAGCAGATGAATAAATGAGAGATAATAGTGCACCAACACTAACACTGTTAAGTATTTATAATGTTCTAAAGTTATGAATAAGCAAGTCATTTTTGTCCAGAATTTTGGAGCATTTCGTTAAATATTCATACTGGTTATATGAGGAGAAGCAACTCAACACTAGTGAGTAATTTAGTCACTCATTAACAGAATTCACATAAATTCAATATTTTTAGATATTTATGTTGCTGGCCAGTTGTTCATTACCTGTCTTGCTTACATTTCTTGAGCTCCCAAAACTTTTCAGCTTCCACATTTTCCGTTTCGCTGCAGATGGCAAACAACAAAGTGAAGGCCAAAATTTCTTAGAATTTATCATGCATATATTATATTAAATGTCCCGACAAAACGGTGAGGGGAGGAAGTGTTGGAGTATAAACAATGCTCGCAAAAAACATCTTTATAATAATGCTTTCCCGTACCGTCGGCTTGTCCCACGGCCGCGTCTCCTTTCTGATTCAAGCTCTTCTTTCTGCGGTGCTTCTTCCTGTCGGTCAGTGGGGAGGCTGAGCCGACGTCTTTGGTAGAGGAGGAGCTGGAGACTCCCTCGACTGCAGAGTCTGGCCACAGGAGAGCAGGAACAGGATGTCAAGAGCTGCTTTAAGACAAATGTCCTGCAAAAATGGTCTTCTGCTGAGCTCACCAACGCCTTGGCCGTGGTTGGACAGCGTGGACGGGCAGCGCTGGACACCAATGTTGCTCCTCAGGAACAGAGCGCCTCCCAGTCCTTCCACCTCCTCCACTTGCATGAGGCCACTCGTGTTTACTATATAATTAACAAATTACATGACATATAAAGACGATACATCTTTGTCACATAAATATGTTTGTTCTAAACTGTGTGGGGTTTTAATGCTTTCTCTGTCAGTTGGTTATTTACAAAAAGGGAAATTCAGCAGCATTTATTAGCCTGTTATTTTCTATGCAATTAAACTTTATATAGCAGCAAGCAAGGGTTTCTGCAGAGTAACACACTTTTTCTATCAAAATGATGGCAGAGTGACGATTTGAGCTCGCTTTGCCTTCACAGAGCGAAACATCAAAACATCAGGCTGACAGTAGAAGCTGCTTTGAAGAAACTGGGTCAAGCGTCGAGACAATAACCTTAAGTAACGCAGCAACTCTACAGCACAGTTATAAATCAGGCAGTTTAAAAGGTATGCATGCATGCTGGATTATTCTGGCTGCATGATTCTGTCGGAATGCCTTTTCTCGGAAATGGGGGAGCTCATTTGGAGTGGATGTTCGCTTTGCACGAACTCTGCTTCTGAGTATGCTGCATAAATTTTCAATAGGGTTGAGGTTGGGATCATTCTAGACGTTTGAGGCCGACCCACTTTATGCATGCCAGCTACAGTTTTGATATGAGTTGGAGATAATTGTTCTTTAGTGACACAAAGCTCTGTCAGAGATTCAACCAGCTGGTTGAGTTTTGATGAAGTGGAGTTATGGGGAGCCTTCCTGCATCAAACAGAGAACAATAAGTTCAACCACAGCAGGAGCAAAAGGTTTTAGTAGATGTTCAGACCTAAAGTAATATATACTGGTGGAACGAGAGCTGCTGAAAGAGGGCTGAATTTACCAGCTATGGAGCAATAAAAGACATTTATATTTCAACTTAATTAAACCTCCTAATACAGTCAACTCACAATTTCAGTTTTGATAGTGACACAGTGAGGGCTGGCATGTATTGATGTGTCTTTGCACTGTATTTATCCTACATTTTATATTTTAAGTATTTAATATTTGTATAGTATTGTTTTTACTGCTTAATGATTTTAACTGTAAACGTGTAAAATGTTGAGTCACCACTAGGATGTTATTGCACTGTAACCTAAGACGTCTTTACCTTCAGTATGTGTGTGTGTGTGTGTGTGTGTGTGTGTGTGTGTGTGTGTGTGTGTGTGTGTGGGGGTGTGTGTGTGTGTGTGTGTGTGTGTGTGTGTGTGTGTGTGTGTGTGTGTGTGTGTGTGTGTGTGTGTGTGTGTCCACGCCTGCATATTTGGGCTGCAACTAACAATTATTTTAGTAATCAATTATCCAACAGATCGTTCTGAAAATAATTTGATTAATCTGACAAAAAAAGGTTTTCATTTAACTACTTAAGTCTTTTTTTAACACAATATTATGATTACATAAAAATGTTGTAATCTGCTATTCAATCTTCCTTTAGTGGAAACTTGATCATTTGTGGCAGAGGATGCATCGGCATCAGCTGAAAACAATGCTGTCTACTAATGAGTTCATTATCTTTTTACTTAGTAATTGGAAACAAAAGGTGCTTCTTTCCTTTTTTACATAAATTGAACCAGGAGAAGCTAAAAATGTCACTTGAGGATTTCTGAGTTGAACATATTTACAGACATGTTTAAGATTTTTCATTCTAAAGGAAAAATGTAGTTTTTGTGCAGCTTTGACTTAATTTCTGCTCTGACTGTGTTGCTCTTTCAGCAAATGGCCACTTCTAGAGTCTCTACACTCCAGGTTGCGTTTAACTGATTGCTAAATCAGTTAAATTTCCACGACTCACAATTAACTCGATCAATCAATCGTTTCAATCCTGCTGCAAATCGTTTGCTTTTCATACATTCCTTCTGCGGGTAAACAAAGCGGGTCTTTACCCTCGGGTCCCAGCACATCTTTGACCCGCCCGTTGAGCCCAGCAGGGGGTCCACATGCAGGCACAGCACGAGGGGGGCGCTTCCCCGGCACCTTGACAGTCACCCGAAGCAGGTCCATCTCTTTCCCCGGAGCGTTCAGCATGTACTCCTGCCAAAGCAAACGGCAGACTCTCAGTCTCTCCGACAGCGAAACGATTCTCAGGGCTGCGTTGGAACACGCGCACTCACGTTGACGCTGGAGTGGTAGGAGAGGATGCCATCGTTGGACAGAGTGACATATTTCTTTTTCCACTCTTTGTTGAGCGAGCTCCCACTGCGCTTCAGCAAGATGCCCTGATGGCGATATGAAAAAGAAGAAGACTGAAGGAGGGGAATGTATTCCTAATGCCAGGTGCGCTTTGCTTCACACATTTTGGTGCCACGAAGACTCGCTGGGCGCCAGCAACGCCCACCGTCCGTTCTTCACGCCGGCATGGGAGATTGCAGCGTGTCATGACTCAACATGATGAAAGTGGCTTCACACAATCTGAGGCGACTGCTGGTGCCTCGTCCTCAGCTGAGGGTCACCAGATGCATCTTATCTGCTCCTGCGTCGCACACAAATCCGTGTCCTACCTGTTTGATGGGGATGAATCGCCCACTGCCAAAGTCGCCCTTAAAGTCTGCGCTCCGTCTGTTTGAGTCGCTGCCTCTCCTTCCCTGCGCACAAGGAAGGAGGGAAAGGCTGCATCAGTGGCAGGAAAGGAGTCATTAGTTGGGACTATTATTCAATAAACGAGTGAAATACATCTGCTGGAAGGGCTGGCGCTGAACAGAGGCAGCAGCAAATCTTCTGTACTTTTGATTTGCTTTTACAGCTCCAGTTCTGATCAACCGCTTGCTCGCCATATTAATATTGTCTCTTAAAGATTTTTAGGTCGTTCTGTGTCAGCATGGACTTATAGTGCCAGCTGGAGCTTTAACTGCAGCTCGAGACAAGATTCAGTGAACAATTTTGAGTTTATAGCAGGGTCATATTTATAGGCTCAGATTTACACTTACACCCCAAAGATACATGATGATGATACAGAAAATGATGAAAACCTCTCACATATTTGCAGTTGTAGACATTTGAAAAAAAATCTTAATGACAGAAATTTAAGTAACATGACTACATAATAAAAACAGAGTTAATAAAGGTTTAAAGCTTTAAAAATAACTAAACTAACTAATAAAGGACATCCACACATATATCCCCACTTGAGTCAAATCTCACCCTGATGTTTCACATCAGAAAATCATCAATAAAAAACAAAACGCTGCAACTTGAGCCTGATGAGGGGTTTGAAGTGGTGTCGAAGAGAGTCATCATTCTGCACATTATGTTTCTGAGAGCGAGATCATAAATGGAAACCGACGCTTCTGTGATGTTGCTCTTTAGACAGATAAGCTGAAGTACAGAAGAGGGAGTATTTTTGGTGAAAAATAAATGCAGCATTTCAAGAAAAGAACTGTATACCAGCTGTGAAGCATGGCGGTGGAAGTATCATGACTTGGGAATGCTTTGCTGCAACAACACTGTAGTATCCAGCAAGAATCCCACTGCGTATCAAAGAGTATTTCTTAAGGAAAAGCATGAATCCAGCTACTGAAAAAACATTAAACTGATGCATTATTGCACATTGAAACCTGATAACGAACCAAAGCACATAAATCCACTCAGGACTGGCTTCGAATTGGAAAATGGAAAGTCATGGGCCAAGTCAAAGGACAGGAAGTGACCTCACTAGATGCTGCTGTGTGACTTGAGATGGACTGAACATTCAAGAAACCCATCACAGATTTCACAGACATTTCTGAAGTGCCTCATTCCAGTTAATTCAGCCAAAAAGGGTCAGACGTCTTTTTTTATTGGTGTCGTTTAATATTCTAATTGTCAGTGAAACAGAATGTTGGACTTTCATTTAGCTGTAAGACATAATGATCAAAATTAACAGTAATAAAACGTGAAATATTAATATGGGTGGAATAAATCTAGATAACATTTGAGTTCAGCTTTTTAACACCAGCGGTGAAATAAATCAACTTTGTAGAGCTATTCTGATTTATGTTGTAAAAAAAACAAAAAAAAAAAGAAAAAAATAACAATCAAGGCTTTAGCAGCACTCACCACAAATCTGGGAGTGCGCTTGCGGATGCTGCGGACCGACCCAGGCACGCCGCTGTCGCCTTTCTCCCCCCTCAGAGTTCTGCCGATCTCTTTGTGGCTGATCACAGGAGTGGAGGGAAGAGACGAGGAGTAATCGCTGCTCTGGCCGCCGTTGCTGGCCTACGGAGAGGAGAGGAGGAGGGAGACGAGTTTAATCCAGCTGCTCTTCCAATACCTGAGAAATCCTCACCGAGAGCAAACATGCAGGAGGTCATATGTGCTTTTACCTGTCCTGGAAAGACACCAGACACTGGAGTGGAGCCTCCAGAGTGACTGGGAGAGTTGGGAAGAGATTTACAGGAAGCCAGTAAAGCGGCTTGCTTCTTGGCTGCCATGATCTTCTGAGCAGCTGTCGAATGAAAATGAAAGAAAACAGAAAGAAAAGCTTAAATCTAGCTCTAAAATAAAGAGAAAAATATCATCCAGGCGAACGCACGCACCATCGTTGAAGACTCTGTTCACATTGAGGCCGTAAGTCGCGCAGGTTTCATAGTAGGTGCAGCGGCGCACATCTGAACACAGCTGTCTCGCCTTGGTGTCGTCAATCACTCTGGGGTTCGTGCTGCTGATCTTATCTGGAAAAAGGTACACAGCAAGCATTGACTTATTTTTTTAATATATATTTTACGTAGTTACAGCTTAAAATGAACGTGGCAGATGTTCATATAAACAAAAGCTTTGAATGAAAAAGAGTAGCCGGAAGAAAAATAAATCATAGACAGTCTACTCTTTCCGTCAAAAGATCATTCGCTACACCATCAATCAATCAACCATCCATACAGAAGGAGAGAAGGTAGTTCAGCATATGTTGTCCTGCAAAGGGGAAATTTAGGTGCAGCGGCGGAAAATATTTTATTATATTCTTAAAAGTAAAAATGTGTCTATCTGTTTGGTTTCTACAGACAGATTAATCAACAAATTGGATCCACAAAGACAAATACAACATTCAATTTGTTTAGTTCTGACTTTTGGTTATTTTAAAGTCTCAGATCCTCTCAAATTATAAAAGCTATCTCTTTTAACAAATATTTATTTATTTTTTTTGTATCCATCTTGAGCAGATGTGGAACAGGAGAGCCTCACCTTGAGTACCGACGACTACAAAAGGGATCTCAGTGACGGGCCGGTGCAGAGAAAGCTGGTGGTAGAATTTGTAAACTTCCTGAAAGCTGGCCTCATTCTCCAAGCTGAAGACCAAAATGACGGCGTCCAGCCAGCTGGCAAACTAAGAGATGAGGAAGAAGACAAGCAGAAATCAGTGTACCGGAAAATGCTTGCATTGTTGCAGCAGGTTAGGTCAGTCTGCAGCATACCTGAGGCCCAGGAGGCTCCGTCTCTTCTCTGATTATCAGCAGGTGACTCTGTCCGTCCACCAGCACTTCCTTGATGAACTGCCGCCCTGGGCAGCAGCACAGACTGCATTCATTACCTCTTATCATTATGCTATTTAGTATAATTAAAACTGTGTACATTGCTTTACAAAGGTATTGATACTGTATTTTTTTTTTCACATTCCGACCATGAGGTTCAGTGTGTTTTGATGGGACTTAGTTGTTTATAGTTGTGAAAGGAAAAAAATGATACAAGGTTTTTGAAATTTGTTATAAATGAAACTATGAATCTGAGGTGACATTAGATGGCAATTTGTTACTTTCATTTGTTTCAAACTAATAAGGCTTCAAAACAAGTGCAAGTTGCTCTTTCCGTGTATAACTTTAACTCCGTTTAATAATCACTGCATCGCTTTATGTTGCCTTATCACATGAAGTCCAACTAAAACACACTGAAGCATCAGCGTTAGAGGTGCAGGGAAGCTAAACCGACCCTCTGCGTTCTCCTCCGGCTGGTAGCTTCCTGTCAAGTGTCTGTGGACGAGGGCGGACTTCCCGCTGCACAGACCCCCCAACACACCCTGCAGTACACACACACACACACACACACACACGCAAACGCAGACAAACATCAATCCAGCATCAAGTCTGACAGAGAGGCTCGCAAAAGCTACCCGGTGGCCTGAAGCTTACCAGATGAAGCTCTTGAACAGCTTGACTCATGGTCCATTCTTGACTGCTGGTGCAAACGACTGAGGACAGAGATAATAACAGAGCAAAGAGTTATTATGTACAAAAGAAACACAGTACTGCCAATTCAATATGTTACTCAGGATGTCACAAGATGCAGAATGTGAGCAGAAGAACTGACAGCGTTAGACGACAAAGTGCTGAATTTGTTTGGAGGTCAAAGTTCAGCTTTCTGCTCCCACAGTTCTGGTTAATATTTACAACGACCAGCAGAGTGAACTCGCGCAGTGGAGGGTGAAACAGCTGCACTAAATGTTTAGATCAGGAATGTCAAACTCATTGTCGTTTGGACCAAATCAAGATCATAACAGAATATGTTGATAAAACCCGTTAAAAATTCTAATAAACTCTTCAAATTAAATAATATTGAACATCTTTTCAGTCCCTCCAGAATTTCCTGACTTTTTTGCAATAAAAATTAAAGTGCTTGTGGTACCAATACAGAAATATTTGCAATATTTGTGCTTATTCATGATGGTAAATTATTATTCACTGTATAGATCATGGACTTTAATCTGATATCAATTAAAACTGAGGCAGGTATTTAGTACAAGTAAAGATTTTAATAATTTTTTTAAAAAAATCAGCAATAAACTGTACTAGCACAAAAAGAGTGCATGAATTGGTTGATTTTAAGTGAATTTTCACAATAATTCCCAAGAAGCTGGAGGGACTGATCAATACAAACTGATATAAACTGCATTGATGTGATTGATAACATGATGTTTAAGCACACTTAATGTTTAGAATCTAAAGGGCCACATAAAAAGCTACGGCGGGCCGGATTTAGCCCCAACGGGACTTGAGTTTGACACATGTGGTCAGATTTATTTACAGGAAAATAAAAAATGAAGTTCAGAACGGACAACCACACAAAGAACTCCGACTTTCCCGACCTTCTTGTGTTTCTCCACAGGGTTTAGTATTTATTTGCTACACAGGAAACAGGCAAAAAGAGGAGACATGAAGGAAAACGTAAGAAATCAAACCCCCAGACGGCTGAGTTGAGGATTAACAGCCTCCATCTGAAGGCGCTCCCTCCACCTCCATACCATGTCTCGCCTCAGGGGAAAGCCAGACGTCAGAGTACAAAGAGAATGCCTGATCAAAACCTCAGAGTGAAAACAAGAAATCCTACTGTTAAACTCTAGATGTACGCTCTTGATTAAGTAAAGATCTATTCCTCCAGAGCTCCACCGTTCTTCACTCCATGCTCACAGCTGAACGTGTTCGTCTTCTCGCCTTAAATGTGTGGAGGACCTCAATCAATTACCGCCATCATGACCTCGCTGGCGTCTTGATGTAGTCAGATTACCTTTGATCCACGGAGTCAAATTAGTGTGGCGATCCTGTCAGATTGAATCAGTTTCATCTCGCGCTTTCAGATTTATGGCGATTACAAGAGCAGGATTTTGCGGTTGAGTTTCAGACTGACACATTTCAAACAAAAGGTATTAAAGAAACATGCACTTATGAAAATTAATTAAAATAATTGAAGTTGTGTAAAAGCGCAGAGTGAAATTTAACATTTTTCCTCCAAAAGAAAATGAAATAAAATAAAAAATAAACTAATTCAATTATAACAAACCTGCCAAACATAAAGGAGTTTGTTGCGTTAAATTCAGAGGAAGCATCTCCTGTAAGCAGCAGAAAAATGGCAGGAATGTTTTGCAAACTGATCCCGGTGGTTTGTCGGTAACTCCTGACCGCCTGTCTGCTGTCAGCAGCCCGAAGGGTCAGAAAGGTCAAATCTCACCAGCAGGATTCAGAGACAATGAAGCGCCTTTATCTCTGCTCCAACCGTAAAGTCAGTCAGGTTCAAGTCTCTATCAGGCAGAAAGCATTCAGCATATCTGCTTGTCTTCACTGGGTTTTACTTTTTAGTGCAGACATAATGGAAAATTACCCATCTACAACAATAAGGGCTTTATTCTTTTTATTCATCCTTAATTTAGTTTAATTTAGTCGATACATTCTGCAGTGCTTCGCTTGATGTTCTGCTATTAACAGAATAAAAGCTGATTTCTGAAAGATAAAAAGAACACAAAATAGTACACAGCTGCTTGTTCAGCAAACAAACTTTGATAACCTCTAATTAAAGCCTAGCATCCTTTGTTTAGTATATTGTGTGCCATATCAGTAGATCGCATTATGCTGTTTGTGAATTTGAAGCTTTATTCTCTGAAAGAAAACCCTACAGAATAAGATTTACTCCAATAACGCTGTTTCTTTTACTCTGTCTTTGGATCAAATGTCTTTTTGAGTTTGCAAATATCACTGCAGGGATTTGACTTTTTCTGTACAACTTTATGGAGAGGAGGCAGAAATGTGCCTCAACGGGAATGAGGCCATTTCATCTGCCAGCTCTACAGAGTCTTTACGTTACATGAAAAATCTCCTCATAACCCACACTTACGCAAACAGCTCATCATGAATGATTCCTGTGTTTGGTTGGAGCTACGTAAGATGAGAAAACCACGTGGAAACATTTCTAGTTTTTTGTTGCGTTTATTATGATTTAATCAAAAATATTAGACAGTTTGAGAACTGAACTGAACTGGTTAGGGATGTGCTTTGTGCGTGAGATTATTGGCGTCCGCTTTACTGCTTAGTGTGATGACAATAACTTCCCTGTTTTGTTG